TATAAATGCATGGCTACGTTCATAGCCTACGGTGTAGCTACGCGCGTAGACGTAGGGGTGATGATGGCGCATAGATCAGATGCTTTCCTTTGGTGTGGGAGACCTGGGTTCGATTCCCACTGTGAGACATCCACCATTGTGTCCCTGAGCAAGACACTTAACCCCTCGTTGCTCCAGAGGCGTGCGACCTCTGACATGTACAGCAATTGTAAGTTGCTTTGGATAAAAAACTCAGCTAAATGAGTAAATGTAATGTAGACCTACGCAGGAGTATAAATGAGCCATAAGGTCAGCTAATGAAAGCAATACAGGAAGTTTTACACATTTCTCTCCTAATGATCATTAAACAGAAGGTGAATCCATAAACCAACATTACCAAAGGTAATTAATCAATCATCTAAATCATCAATAAACAGAGAGGCCTTTTGTCACATCTGTTTTCATCTCTGAAATCTGGGTTTGTACTGCTGTATATATGTAAAACACACACACACACACACACACACACACACACACACACACACACACACACACACACACACACACACACACACACACACACACACACACACACGTACGTTACCTATTTTGGCCAGAACAAAGATCCATGAAAATGAGAACAAAACCACAAATGTTAACGCAGCCATGACTTAAACCAGACTGAGTTGTTCTTCCTGGTGTTCAGTTGTTGCCTTTAATTGACTCTGGACCAGCTCCAAAACCTCTGCACTGGTTTTAACTGGCTACCTGCAGGTGTGGGATTTCCAAGAAGACTGAACTCTTGCTTCTCCTCCAGTTTAGCATTAATAAGCAGCAAATAGGCTCTGAATGCAAGTTTTATCACACATTATCCTGCAATTATAAAGATGTTAGGACTTGTTGAGTGTTTATTAATGTTTATTATCTTTTATAAGATGTCATGATTTCTCATCTGTTTACACAGCAGCCTCCACTCATGGCTGCAGGAGGAGTTCTTGTTGTTAACATTCATACAACTAACCTACCGTTTGTTATAAAGCATTTTATGAACCTTCGCCAGGATCCAGTTTGTGGATTCAGCTCCGCTTTTAACACCATCATCCCGGCCCTGCTGCAGGACAAGCTCTCTCAGCTGAACGTGCCCGACTCCACTTGCAGGTGGATCACAGACTTGTAGATGGGAAAACATGTCTCTGATCCAAAATCAAGTCAAAGTACTGCCTCACAGTACAAGTATTTACCGTATTGGTCCAAAAATAGGACTTAAAAACTGACCTTGTCTTAATTTTGGGGTCTAATAATAATATAAAATAAAAATATACTATAATAATATACTCCCACAATAAAAGATGGCGCCCAATATGGGCATGTTGCTGTGACTCCAAAGTAGGTCAAGTTAACCAACAGCTGAGGATGAGCTATGATACCATGATAGGTTGTTGTTTTTAACATCTTTAAAATAAAACAACATTTTCAATATGTTTTTAAATATCCTGGTCACATTTAAAGTACATTGTACATTTTATTTAGTAATAATTTAAATGTGACCGTTTCATTTAAAAAGATATTGCAGATATTTAAAAGATGTTAAAAACAACAACAAACCTTGTGTTTTTTAATCAATGTGTTTTTATTAGAATTATTTTCAAAAACATTATTTTCCTTATAAAAACAAGATTTGGTCTTTAAAGTATACTCTACAAAAGAATACACTGGCTCTACGTAATTAAAATGTAGGTAACAATTTGCATTAATGTAAGTAATTCCAACTCAAGCCATTTATGAGCACATCTCATGAGACATTTATAGTTAGACTAACTCACTTAGCTTAGTAACAAACGTGAACAAACGTTCTCTACAAGCAACCAACTTTATTATAATTTAAAAGTTTTGGTGTTATTAAGTGGTCAAAATATTTGATTTTAAGTTATTCCAACTTCTTTATTTTACTTTCATTCTACTCAGAAATGTCATTGCAAATTGTTAGCATAATATTTTGAGTATAATCAACTACAGCTGTGCCTGAATTGGAACCAGTGTAAAGGCCTCTTTTGTTCTTTCAGTTCTTTTAGTCGACTGATCATCGAATCATGTGTCTGTGTGGCCGTTTTGATAAAAGCTTTATGTAAAACTACAGTATATTTAAAAAGGAAACGCCGACGCCACCTAGGGAACAGCTACTCTGAGCCCCAGGACTCACACACGGGTTCTTTTAAATCGGGGGTTAGAGCAGAGCAGAAACCACACAGGCTGAAATAAATTTAACAATTTATTGCTACAATTAAGGCCGAACTAAAACCAGTGTGCCGAACTAAAACCAGTGTGCCGAACTAAAACCAGTGTGCCGAACTAAAACCAGTGTGCCGAACTAAAACCAGTGTGCCGAACTAAAACCAGTGTGCTGACACAGGTTAAAAGAGAGCTTATCCTATGGCTCGCTCCGTCAGCCCCTCGGTCTCCACCGCTTGTCCCTACAGCAAGGAAGCACTGGCGAGTGTTGTGATCTCGTTAAGTAGCCCACACCCTGTACTCCACGTTCCCGACTCTGCAGCCTTCCCCTGTCCTGGTCCAAGTTCATCGGTTAAAATAATTCACTGCAGCTCAACACTCTAATCGGGCACCAGAGTAGTTCCCTTGTAGTAGTAGTGTTAGGTCTTAGTTTGTGGTGGACTCTGGTGCGGTTTGTTCACAACTAGAGGCAACAAAGGCAAAGGCTAAGGGTTTGCTTTGCGTGAGAATGGGACACAAAGGTCGGGGTAGACTGGGTCCAAAGTTCCAGCACTGCGATAGACAATCCAGGGTAAACCGGGACACTGACTTGACGCGGGGATCTTGAAAGAAGCAGACAAACAGCAGAGGTTACACAAGTGACAAGTAGCAAACAACTGAAGAAACACTAGGAACTAGAGCTGGACTGCAGTACTCAACCACGTAAGGGGAGGAACAATCTGGTGTCAAGTCACTGGATGCCCTGAGTCTTTTGGTGCGTTCCATTTTCCTCGGACGTCAGAGGTCGGACCTGGGAATGACGTCACACCCGAGTTGACGGGGTTACAGGTAGGAAAACCTCGCTTGGCCAGCTGTTGTTTACAACTAGCCAGGTTAGCTATTGTTACGCAGTTGATTAAAAAAAAAAAAACTTTGTGTGGTAGTTTCTCAACACGTCCACAGACAGCAGTTGGACAGCACCTTTTGTACGAACATTTCTATGAGACAGAAGTGCTAATAAACAGTAAAAACTACAGCTTTCACTAACTGTTGATACTCAGAGCAGCCATCTTGGATCACAAAGTTGGGATAGTGCGGTTCTCCCGACTTTCGGACATTCGACTTAAGTGGGCGTTTGTGGGCCCTTTGAAATATCTGACTTTGAAATTCTGACTTCCCATGTCAAATGGAAAGCACCATTTATACCACAGGTTGATGAGGTGATTAGAACCTGGTGTGCAGCCTCGTCAGGTCTCCTGATCTTGTCAAGCCAAAGACGCACAGACAAAGAGGGGAGGGGAGGGGAAACGAGGAAAACCACAGAAAACAAAAACAGAAAAAACAGAGTCATAGCACCGGTTGTGACAAGTAGTAATAACCCCCATAAATTTATATAAAGTCCTTATAGGTAAATCCTGCCACTCGACAGCCATCTTGGCAACGCCTCCGGGCAGTTATGTTGGACTAACAAGACCAGACTCCTGTCTGAATGAATGGGGAGAGAGCCAGAACTGCACTTTTATTGATCACCAGGAAAGAAAAACTACATGTACAGCGTCAGCAGCTAAATCTTCTACTACGCATGCATGGAAGAATTATAACTTGTCCGGAAAAATATGCTTTACAAGAATCAAAGACCCCTATGTCAGTGGAACCACATGATTGGTTTCCCGCTTTGGCTGTTAAAAGGGTCCCATCCACACTGCTGTGTTTTCGTCTTAAAACCTGTCCAGACTAATATGGCGAAAACCAAGACCTAAAATGGAGAAGTTTGAAAACGCTGCCAAACCCTTTTTTCGTTCAGAGGCCATTTTAGTGCGGACGGGAAAAAACAGCAGTCTTTAGAAACGATGACGCAGACGCTCACATTTGTCTTACTGATTGGGTCTCATAAGTCATTCAAGCATGAATCTGGCTTATATAATCACTGCCATGGGTTTGATATGATAGGGTAAGGTACCATTTTGATGTCTCTTTTGTGGATGTGACAGCTCCCTCTGATGGCTGTAGAGAATGATTACATCTACCTGTGCTTCACCTGTGCAGGCCGACTGTTAGAAGAAGGTGTTTGTTTTGTTTTCTGTATGGGTTATCTGGCACTGGTATTACTTGGTGTCAGATTGAAGACACGTTTTGTGGTCTCACCCATTGTGTCTCACTTTCAGAGTTACAGGTACAGACAGTACCAAGTATCAAGTTTTTTTCTGATTAATGCCTTTAATCCTCAGATTTGAAGCCTAGTTTATACTGGATATAAAGAGTGACGAGGCAGACTGTCAGGTCCAGTGATGAACCGTCTGAGGAGAAGAATAAATAATGAACCCCTTTCTGAGGCTCTGGGTGTTTGTTACCTGGGCGGGTTTCGGCTCAGTTGAGTTGTGTTGAGATCAGACCTGCATCAACATGTTCAACAGCTCACATTGTTTCTGGTGCAAAATTACACAATTACATTGCGTCATGTACTTAAATAGAATCTTAAGGTACTTGTACTTTACTTCAGTATTTCAATTTCTGGCTAATTTTTACTTCTACTGTACCACATTTATCTGACAGCTGTAGTTCCAGGTTACTCTGCAGATTAACATGTTACCTGAACATGATGCATGTTATAGATTAAACCTCCAACATTCTCCACCAGCTACACCAGCTGAAACACTTCTCACATGTTAACATGTTAAAGTACTTTAAACACTTCTGTAATTGTAGCTAAGTTACATTTTGAATGCAGGACCTTTACTTTCTATGGAGTGAAGATGTGAATTGTTGTGCAGGGAGGGGGGCTCCAGGTGAGATCAGACATGAGTCAACCGCTCAGCTGCAGTTTATTGTATTATTATTATTATTATTGTTGTACAGCTTTAAGATGAGCTGTTCCAGAAATACAAATTAAACACAGACCATTCACCATCTACATTATTATCAGGGACCGAATTAAAAACAAAGAGACATTAAATAGAGGCATCTGAAAGCAGAACAATAAAGAGCTTTACAACAGAAAACAAACAGAAACCATCACCCAAAATCTAAAATACCTGACACCTGAACAAAGAAACATAAAGAGCAGTCTGATATAATGGAGCGTGTATCATGGTCAAGGAAACTGCCTGCATGCAGCATCAATTCACACAAAATTTAATTGAATTTATTGAAGGATAGCCCCTTGAGATGCAGCATCTCATTTTCAAGGGCGTCCTATAACACAAATATATAATGAACAACTACAAAACATTACGAAACTACATACAATACACATACACATATATAACTCGCACACCCACTCTTACCCACACCAACCACACCAACACCCTCAGTTAATCCAAGGAAAAGTAACAAGTTAAAACAATCCCATAACTTCAATTATAACAAATGAAAATCAACTATCATTCAACCCAAAAGCAAATCAAATTATGTTGTTATATGAGTGGATATGGAACTCTACAAGAAACTAAAAATTGTTTCAAGTGTGGAGGACAGCAAAAATAACCACATTTTAAAATAAACTTTATCCATTGAAATTCCCCTCTTGCTTTAGGCTGTAAACAGTTAAGCGTCTCATACTTAGAGCAGTGATGAGACGCTTGTTGTTAAATGAACACCTCAAGACAAATCTACAAAGACAATTAAAAACAACATTAAGAGGCCTAAGATTGGTGTCAGTGATGTTCATATAGATAATACCAAGATAATCAATATTCAGCAGTACCGTCTGAGAAAAAATAATTTTCCTGGCTTGAAATGTAAAACAGTGTATTGATCGGTAAAGAGAACTTAAACAGCCATAGATTTATTTATAAGGAAGCCAATATGTCATTTGAAACTGAGTTCAGGGTCAATCCAAGATATGTAAATTGATCCACTTCATCCACGAGAGACCCATATTCAAAGTTAATATACATATGTAAAGTACTAAGACGATTGCTCCTTGTTCTGAACAGCACATTACAGACTTTTTTTATTTATTACCAATTTATTCATGTGAAGCATTGTAAGGAGTCTTGTATTTTTATTTATCTCTGAGTCCGAGGCGTAAATAACTGTATCGTCAGCATACAGATGCACTGAGCAATTTTTTAAAGATTTTGGAGAAATCATTGACGATAGAAAAAAGGAGGGGTCCCAAAATGGATCCTTGGGGGATAATAGTAATAGTAAATAATCTGAATGAATGAACACTTAATGAATCTTGCTTCAAGACCGCCAGGACCTGCACTGCTATTTTCTTTTAACCCACAAATGACATGAAAAACCTGCGATGGACTGGCGACCTGTCCAGGGTGTACCCCGCCTTTCGCCCAATGTCAGCTGGGATGGACTCCAGCCCCCCCACGACCCTGTACACAGGATAAGCGGTTGACAATGGATGGATGGATGACATGAAAAACATCAATAGGCATGACTGATCTAAAACAGAATGCACCAGTAGAGAAGATCATGCTGGAAGAACTATCAATTTGATTTTGATTCACAGAGTTTTTGTTATTTTACTGAGTATATGGTTCAAATGATTCCAGAATTTTCTGGGATTTTGAAAGTCCTGTGAAAAGCCATCTCTATAATTAAGCAATAGCTCATGACAGGCCGTGGTATACCCTTACCCATGCCTGTCAGCCATGTCTTGTTTACCCTGTGTTTTGATTTTGGTTTCTCGGGCTTTTGGTTTCATTCATCCATTCATTTATTTTCATGTCTTAGTGTTACTCCTGGACTGTGTAGGTTGTTGTTTTACCCATGTCTGCTCTTAGTTCTGTCTGTGTTCCTTGTTGGTGGTAGTTTACTTGTGATCTGTTTGCTTGTGTCTGTTCCCCCAGTAACTTTCCAGTCAATTGCGTGTAAGCCTGTTACCTGTTCTCATTTGGATTACATACCCTGAACTGAGTCTGCTCTCGGTGTCTTGCATTTGGGCTCTCACCTCCTCTGCTAACAGACGCACTACAATTTGACTTTATTTCATCAGCAGACATTTCTTTATGAATACAAAAGCAGTTCTACCAGGGATTTATTTATCTCCGTTGGTAAAATTTGATCTGTGTCAGATCGCATTTTAATACCAGGTGTAAAGGGGGCGTGAGACCACCACGAAGCTCAGATTATAACTCAAACTCTGTTTGTCGCAGTGATACCGGTCTGTGCAAAGAAATTCAACGTCATACCCGTTTTATACGGTCATTTGATTTGAGCTACCCGCATTATAATAAGTAGATTTTGCATTCCTTATCTTGGTCTTAGATAAGTTCCTGAGATATCTGTAAGCTTCCCAATCTGTGGCATTTGAAGAAGAGCAATATTTAGCCCAGACTTTATCCCTTTGTTTAAAAAGACTAATCCGATGTGAGCTGATCCATGGTAAATGTCTACCTTTGACTCTGATGGTTCTAAAGGAAACATGTTTGTCAATTACTTTAGTGACCTCAGAATAGAAAAAATTCCATGCATCTTCAACATATGGAATAAACCTATCCCAGTTTCTACAAATTATGTTGTGTATAAAATGGTCAACATATTTTCAATATTTTTACATTGTCTAAATCTAATGTGGGTTTTATTTAAGGAGATACAGAATACATTGTACAATTTACTGATGTGTGTATTAATTTTTCAGTTACCTTAAATGATGATGTGCTTTCTTTTCCTGCGATATCTGCTCATGCTGAAATATATCATATCATATTAATAGAGCTGATCACATGTTATTTATATATTTTGTTTTCACCTGTGGACTATAAGATATTCGCCTGTGACTTGTTGTTCGGTTTGATTTGTCTTTTTTGAGATCTGAGACCTTTCACCTGCAGATGGTCGGTTTCTGTATCAGCAGCAGGTCAGTATGAATTAATCTCTGTGAGGACTTTATATTTTCTACAGATTATGAAACGAAAAACAACGACAGCAACAACAACAACAGCAACAAGAAGTGCGCCAAGTAACAGATCAACGACTAGTCCGACATTTTCTCTGCTATGAAGGAAACTCCTGTTTCCTTCTGCTTTTCTTACATCCTTGTTTCCTCCATCTATTCCATCTCCTTCCTTGTCTCCCCCCTCCTGGTCGCCTCCCTGCTTGTCTCCTTCCTCTTTATTTCCTTCTTTCTTGTCTCCGCCATCAGTGTTTACTCCCTCCTTGTCTCCTCCTTCCTTGTCTCCCCCCTCCTGGTCGCCTCCCTGCTTGTCTCCTTCCTCTTTATTTTCTCCTTTCTTGTCTCCGCCATCAGTGTTTACTCCCTCCTTGTCTCCTCCTTCCTTGTCTCCCCCTCCTGGTCACCTCCCTGCTTGTCTCCTTCCTCTTTATTTCCTCCTTTCTTGTCTCCACCATCAGTGTTTACTCCCTCCTTGTCTCCTCCTTCCTTGTCTCCCCCCTCCTGGTCACCTCCCTGCTTGTCTCCTTCCTCTTTATTTCCTCCTTTCTGGTCTCCGCCATGAGTGTTTACTGGCTCTTTGTCTCCTCCCTTTTTGTCTCCTCCTTTCTTGTCTCCGCCATCAGTGTTTACTCCCTCCTTGTCTCCTCCCTTCTTGTCTCCTCCCTCCTTGTCTCCTCCCTCCTTGTGTCCAGCTGTGTGACCTGCAGAGCAGAAACAGGTGTGAGGTATCAGCTGTCAGCAGGTGAACAGAATGTCAGACATTATCTACTGCACTTTGATCACATGACTCGTAGCAGCTGTTTCCTCTAAAGTCTCATCAGCAACATCTTTCTAAAACACAAACATCTGATCTGTGATGTTTCTCAGCTCAACTACCAGGAAGCAGCTTCACCTGAGAGACAAAGAGACACTCTGAGCTCTACACGCTCACCTGAGAGACAAAGAGACACTCTGAGCTCTACACGCTCACCTGAGAGACAAAGAGACACTCTGAGCTCTACACGCTGACCTGAGAGACAAAGAGACACTCTGAGCTCTACACGCTGACCTGAGAGACAAAGAGACACTCTGAGCTCTACACGCTGACCTGAGAGACAAAGAGACACTCTGAGCTCTACACGCTCACCTGAGAGACAAAGAGACACTCTGAGCTCTACACGCTCACCTGAGAGACAAAGAGACACTCTGAGCTCTACACGCTGACCTGAGAGACAAAGAGACACTCTGAGCTCTACACGCTCACCTGAGAGACAAAGAGACACTCTGAGCTCTACTCACTCACCTGAGAGACAAAGAGACACTCTGAGCTCTACTCACTCACCTGAGAGACAAAGAGACACTCTGAGCTCTACACGCTGACCTGAGAGACAAAGAGACACTCTGAGCTCTACACGCTGACCTGAGAGACAAAGAGACACTCTGAGCTCTACACGCTGACCTGAGAGACAAAGAGACACTCTGAGCTCTACACGCTCACCTGAGAGACAAAGAGACACTCTGAGCTCTACACACTCACCTGAGAGACAAAGAGACACTCTGAGCTCTACACGCTGACCTGAGAGACAAAGAGACACTCTGAGCTCTACACGCTGACCTGAGAGACAAAGAGACACTCTGAGCTCTACTCACTCACCTGAGAGACAAAGAGACACTCTGAGCTCTACTCACTCACCTGAGAGACAAAGAGACACTCTGAGCTCTACACGCTCACCTGAGAGACAAAGAGACACTCTGAGCTCTACACGCTCACCTGAGAGACAAAGAGACACTCTGAGCTCTACACACTGACCTGAGAGACAAAGAGACACTCTGAGCTCTACACACTCACCTGAGAGACAAAGAGACACTCTGAGCTCTACACGCTGACCTGAGAGACAAAGAGACACTCTGAGCTCTACACGCTCACCTGAGAGACAAAGAGACACTCTGAGCTCTACACGCTCACCTGAGAGACAAAGAGACACTCTGAGCTCTACACGCTGACCTGAGAGACAAAGAGACACTCTGAGCTCTACACGCTCACCTGAGAGACAAAGAGACACTCTGAGCTCTACTCACTCACCTGAGAGACAAAGAGACACTCTGAGCTCTACTCACTCACCTGAGAGACAAAGAGAACTCTGAGCTCTACACGCTCACCTGAGAGACAAAGAGACACTCTGAGCTCTACACGCTGACCTGAGAGACAAAGAGACACTCTGAGCTCTACACGCTCACCTGAGAGACAAAGAGACACTCTGAGCTCTACACGCTCACCTGAGAGACAAAGAGACACTCTGAGCTCTACACGCTGACCTGAGAGACAAAGAGACACTCTGAGCTCTACACGCTCACCTGAGAGACAAAGAGACACTCTGAGCTCTACTCACTCACCTGAGAGACAAAGAGACACTCTGAGCTCTACTCACTCACCTGAGAGACAAAGAGAAACTCTGAGCTCTACACGCTCACCTGAGAGACAAAGAGACACTCTGAGCTCTACACACTGACCTGAGAGACAAAGAGACACTCTGAGCTCTACACTTACCTCGTTCTGTCACTGTCAGCCTGATAGTGCTGATGAGATTGGGTTTGAATCTCCCACACGTGACCATGGGTAGTAATAAAACCCGACACTCATATGTTCCAGCGTCAGAAATGTCGACGTTCCTCAGAATCACAGTAGCGTCTCCATCCTTCAGCTCTGGATCTTTCATCTCCACTGCACCACGATAACGTGGAAGCATTTCCTCTACATATGAGATGTTTCCATAGCGAACAAAGACAAAGTTGTCCTTCTGGCCAAGTCTATCCCAATGTACCCAATATACCCATCCAGTTGTATCCATCGTGGGAGCCACTAAACACTCAAGAGTGGCGTCCTCTCCAGGCTTCACCTTCACCTCCTGTGTCTCTGAACAGAAAGAGAAAAGCCTCCAGTCAGGACTTGTAATGTTTCCTGTTGTTCAAGCATCTTTTGATGGAAGCAGCAGAGATCAGGTCTCTATTATTATAATTAGAATACATAATAAACTTTAACCTTTAAACTTTAAACATTTTAATCAATAACATAATTCATATTTTGTTAATAAGTTACAACAACAGTAATTATAACAATGACTTATCACAAGTAATTAAGGATACAGGGAGTTTTACACATTTCTCTCATCATTCAACAAAAGAATAAATCCATAATTCAACATAATCAAAGGTAATTAATCAATGATCTACCTGCTGATCCGCTGATCACTGTTTCTTTAAAAAGAAAACAATTCTGTTGATGCACCCCTTACCTTTTTTGGCCAGAACAAAGATCCATGAAAATGAGAACAAAACCACAAATGTTAACGCAGCCATGACCGAACCGAGCAGCTGCTGAAACCAGACTGATTGTTCTTCCTGGTGTTCAGGTGTTGCCTTTAACTGACTCTGGACCAGCCCAAAAACCTCTGCACTGGTTTTAACTGGCTACCTGCAGGTGTGGGATTTCCAAGAAGACAGAACTGTTGCTCCTCCTCCAGTTTAGCATTAATAAGCAGCAAATGGGCTCTGAATACAAGTTTTATCACACATTATCCTGCAGTTATAAAGATCTTTTAAGTGTTTCTTAATGTTCATTGTTTGTCATAACCTGCAGCTTCCACTTATTGCTGCAGAAGGAAATCTATTCGTTAACATTCATACAACATTACCGTCCGTTATAAAGCATTTATTATAAATTTAGATAGGGCTGGGCAAAAAGGCAAAAAATGTTACCATGATTAAAACATTTTATATTGTTCGATATCGATAACGATAAATCACAATATATGTCAAATCATTATTTCTTTTCCATTTAAAGTCTGATTTTTGCAGGACAGTTTCAGAAGGTGGACACAATAACATGAACACTGGCAAAATGTGATGCAAATATCCTAAAGTCTCCAGTAGAGGAACATCGTAGCAACATTGAACACAACAAATTGAACACTTTGCAACCTAACATGGTATCAATAGTTACTGATTACTACTACTACTTACTACTAACGCTGTAAGAATAATCCACAGGCATACACTTATGGTCGAGGCGATTAAGCCAAAACAATGTGTGCCTGCAAAACATCAGCATGTTAGCATGTCACAGAGCTGACGTGTGATGTGGACTCTGGAGTCTGGCTAAATGACATGAATCACTAAAGGTAATAATGTCTGCTACTACTGATCGACTGGATCACGGCGCACACACACACACACACACAGATTAAATCCTAATAAGCCTAACAAAGCTGCCTGTTAAACACTGCAGCTTCAGTTGGTGTGTTCCTGTGTGTGTGTTATTAGGGTTACTATGCTGACTCAGGAGGATCAGAGGAACTGAAGCACGCCCGCTGCTAATCCACCCCTCCTCACTTTTCATCGCCTCCTCCCTCTCAGGAATAGGCCTATCTTTCCTCCTCCCATTTCCCCCCGTTTGCTAGTTTACCCCACTCTTTGCCCTCTCGTCTCCTCCGTCACTTTTCCTTTATTTCTCATGGTTGTCTATATCTTTCATCTTTTCTTCCTGCTTTCTTGCTAATATCAGTTCTTCCTTTGTTCGCTGTGGCTTCCTTGTTTTCCCTCGCTTTTCATCTTAACTCTGTGCTTTCCTGCCTCCTTTTATTCCTTATTCTTCACTCCTTCGCTCCTCAGATTTCTCTTTCATCCTCTCTGAAAGTCTTGATGAAAGTCTTCATCATATTATTGTATGTTTATAATAAAAAGTTCTAGTCTTCAGCGTTTCTTATCTTTGTGGGCGTGGGAACGTACTTTAGTAGAGTGGCTGCCACAATACATGCAAACGCTCATTAATGATTGGAAGAATAAACTCAAGATGTGAAGTTTGTGTGTAAATATTATCACAGCAGGACAAACTGCAGTCTGATCCACAAGCTCAGCTGCTGCTGACTCATCAGAACAACTGAACAACTGAAAAGACAAAAACCTCACTCCCTACATGTAATTAATGATGCGTCATGTTTCAGATCCTGTCAGCACTTTGCCCAGCGTTTGTTTTTATCTCCTTACCTCCACAGGTTGATGATGGGGAGTCAGTTTCTGCTCTGTGAGATTCTGTTTAGACTAAATAAAAAACCTCTGGATTTACAGGAGAAACGGAAAAAACATTCTGCAGCTGATGTTCAGATAACCTCCCGCCTCGCTCTCATAACTGAACACGGTGTCGAGTTGGTTTTGGACGAGTTAAAGTTAGGAAATATGTCTGTGCCCCTAGTTTGGTCTGACCAGGCCTGTTGAGCAGTTACACAAAACCTTCAGCTGAGATGAGGTGACGCAGATTTATTTTTCATTCTTTATCCTTGAACATGTTTTTTGACAGAAAACTTAATGATTCTTCCACAATCCCATGAAAGATATTGTTAAAATTTAATTTATAAGAGATTATTTAAAATGGTAAAATGATATTTCCACCCTTCCCTTCCCCCACTAATGTTTTACAAACAAACTCTGCAGGTGAAATGTACGTTTTCACACGAGACGCTCACTTTTTCTCAGGTGAATTGTACATGCGGGTGCATAGAGTGCAGGTGTACGCGAGACAAACAGTATCATCCCTCCTCTAATCTCTTTATCCTCGTCAGGGTGACAGAAGAGACTCCTCTGCTGGATCCTCCAAACGCTCCTTCACCGCTCCCTTCCCTCCATTGTCTCCTATTTTCTTTCTTGTTAAAAGGGCCAAGTGTGTGTTTGTGCGTGTGTGTGTGTGTGTGTATGTGTGTGTGTTTATGTATGTATGTGTGTGTGTAGGGGGGGATACTCATCTGTTTCCATGGCGATGAGTTTGATGGGCGGTCGGTGGATCTAGGCCACGTAGCCAAGGGCGACAGATTATCAGCTGACAGGTGAGTAAGGAGATAATGGTGTGAGGGCAGAGATGTAAATATTATACAAGATATGATAAAATAATCACAGACGTGTCGCAAACATAGAAAACTGACAATATTAAGTGTGAAGCGTGTGCTGCAAAGAGGACACTTTGTTTTCTGTCTCACACTCATGTAGATGTTTGTCAGAGGATCCTTTACGTCAGGAAAAGTACTAATACTAAACTGTGAAGATACTCCTGCATTCAAAACCTTGCTGCAAAATAGTAGAAGTAAAAGTAGTCATGTTGCAGTAAAATGTACCTGTCAGTACCTGAAGTTTCTGGATTTATTCATGTGCAGGTTTGCATGTTACTGCTGTAGATGTTTAAGGTTGAGCTCATTTTAACTCCTTAATATCCTGTTGGGTATTTTAATCTGCAGCAATGCATCATATTATGTAAGATCATAATGCGTTTGTAGCATAGATGCATATTCATACATGTACATGTACATGTGTCAATGGCAAGAGACAACTAATTTTCTTTATTTTTATCTGATGATGGTCAATTTAAAATATACATTTAAAAGTCAAGAAAGACACAGTTTGATGTAAAACTGTTTAAGTAAAAGACTGTGAAAATACATAATTACAAACACCAAAACCAAAAGTCGTGTATGTGATGTATGTGATCAGTGACTGAAGCTAACATCAAAGAGCTTACATGAGAGGATGATGTGATAAAAGTGCAGAGAGTTGGTTTTCATAAAAAATGACATGTAACTTTACTGATTTATGACAAACTGCAAACGGAAAAAATTATCTTTTTAATTGACAAACATCATGTGTTTAATTCAGGGCTCAGTTCAAACAGGATCAAAAAATTATTGGTCTCTCGCCATTGACTACCGTACATATTTTTTCCGAAATAAGGTCCCATGGGCCGGGAGCAGAAGTGGGTGACTTAAGCTCTCTATAAAGTTAAGAGAAGGATGGCAGACAAGATTACGATGGTCTTGAACCAGACCTGACCTCCTCACTACCAACGCCTCAGGTCGCTTCATCAGACAACCGGACAATCAGTCACACTTTTAGCAGTGATTGGCCAGCTGTGTGGGAGGGGTTTGAACTTCTGTCTCAGCTCTCTTTACAACAATTCCTGTGATGTGGACAAACATGTCTTCCAGGAGAGACTATTTGTTGTCATTCAGAACAGGCAGAAACACTTCACATGTGGTCAGACTTCACGTCGTAGCAACAAGCTTTTTCAAACATACAAAACTCTTAAGACTACCGGTACCACGTCACACCACGTCCTGTGTTGCTGCTAAGAGACAACTTCACAGTGTTTGAACAAACACCCCAAGTGAGGAAACTCTCCTGTAAAACAAAGAGCAAGCTGCGGCGTCCTGGTGCCTTGAGGACTAAAGGAGCTGACCGTAAATCCCAACATCCTCAATCGTCCAGCTTGAGACCTTTGTTGCATGTTGTTGTTGCATGTTGTTTTCTCTTTGCCCTCATTTCCTGTCACCTCTCTCCTGCCATCCCTATAATAATCTCTCTCTGCCAGCAGAAAGTCAGAGGAACGAGTACCTCCATGGCCAAAGTAGGTCCATCAGTCCCGCCCCCCATCACCAGGTTATCTCCGCCCACCATCGTCCTACAAGACATGGAGGAGCAGCCAGGTGAAGTCCTGCAGGGGCACAGGTGCGTTCTCATGGAAACAAGACTCACAGGCTAAAATTTGCAATGGAAATGATTTCAGTAGCCTGTGGGACTTTTGTATTCAGCCCGGAGAATTAAAGAAGCCTGAAGGAAGTTCTGTGGGTCCTGCAGAGGTTCTAGAGGTTCATTGTGAGGTTTCAAGCATGCTTGAGGGAGTTTAAGAGGTTCATGGGGTGGTTCTGTGGATTATAGGGGTCCTTTAACGGATACATGGCTCCATAAGGAAGTTATATGGGTCCTTGAAAAGGTTAGATGGGTTCATCATGGGGTTTCAGGCGTCCTTGAGGAGGTTTAAGAGGTTTATGGGGTTCTGTGGATTCTGGGTTTCTTTTAGAGAATCTAAGGGGAGTTATATGGGTCCTTGAGGAGGTTCTAGCTGTGATTTTTCCCTTGAGGAAATGTAATGGTTTTGTCAGGCAGTCCTCTGGATTGTAGGTACTTCAAAATATCGGGGGCTTCTGGAAGAAATTCTGATAGACGGTCAAGGGGTCCTTGAACAGGAAAACATCAGGCCAAGAACACTGTGAACAAACCAATGGTTGCCCATTTAATTAGCTTTTACAAGAGTCTTTGAGAAGGTTTGAGGGGTCATTGACAAGGTTATGTGGTTAATCAGGAAGTTCTTGTGATTCTTGAGAAAGTTCTGTTGTTCCGTGAAGGTGGCAAAGGTCACTGAGGTTGTTCCAGCATCCTTGAGTTGGTCCACTAAAAGAGTTGCAGTGAACAGTTAACTTGTCCTGCCGTCTGATTGTTTTCTTTGTTTCAGAGCCGCTGAGAGAGCCGGACCAGGAATTTTGTTTAACGTCAACAACAGCAATAACAACGAAGAAGAGTAAGACACACACACGAAAGCCCACTGAGGTGCAACACACACATTGGCCACGTCATTTGACAGCTGTTGCTCCGGATGCATCACACAGACACAAGTAGTATTCAGGATGTATCTGAGAAGTGAAAATGACAGTGGTGAATCCTGAAACTCAAACAATTACACACAGGTTTGTGTGACGTGTTTCCTGTTGTCTTCCAGGGAGGAAAAGGAGGAAAAGAAGAAAAAGAAGAAAGAGAAGAAAGAGAAGAAAGAAAAAAAGGAGCAGAAACAGTGAGTCCCTTCCTATTTCAAAAAAACACCACCTATTGAACGTGGATCTTTTTAGGGCGGATTCGCACCTAAGGTCCGATTCCTGAATCAAATCAATGAGAGGATGATAAGTTGTTTAAATTTTCCAACTGGTCCGGTTTGAGTTCCCAAAGGCAAAGCTCAAACTGTCCAAATTTGTGTGTGGTGGAAATGTCGTTCGACTTTTGGTCATACAGTCAGCAGGTGAATAAACAAACCCTACTAAATACTTACATACTCTAGTACTCTGATGTACTGTTGATGCAGTTTTTTAAATTTCACAAAACACTGCTGTTGTTCACTGGAATGCATTCTCCTTCATTTAATCACTAAATATGTTGATTTAATGAAGCGTGATCAAAAGCGTGATTAAATATGCGTGATCAATAAACCTTCTCTTGAAACTGAGAAACGTTCTCTTCGGGCCAAATATTCACGAGGCATCACACTTCATGATGAGTTCAGGTTTGTCCCCTGCTAGTTGACGTTTTGGTAGTAAACTTGCTAATAGTTCACCGGTCACTAAAACAGGATGCTAAAAAGTTTTTTAACCAATGAAATGACACGCACAATAGTCCACTTCCTGTCTTTGGGTCGAATGGTGTTCACACAGTGATCCAAGACCACCCCTTGAGAGTTCGAGTCTGGCGTTCACACCAACACAAATTATCCACACCAAGGGGGTCAATACCCAGAATGCGGTTCAACCAGACTAAACAAGGTGGTGTGAACACACCTGACAAATGTTTTTGACAAATCACAAAATCATTTTTAGAGAGGAACAGAGAATTGTGTATAAAATACGTATAAATTACGAACTTCTGTAAGCTCACTGGTTGTAATGTGTTGTATTTGTATCTTTTCTGTTCCTGGGAAATAACATTGTTTAACAGAAATTTTAACTGATTACATTTAAATCACTTTCCTTTATCTGTCTTTCCTTTTTTTCCTCCCAGGAAGGAGAAGCAGGAAAAGAAGGAGAGGAAGGAGAAAAAACAGAAGGAGAAAGAAGAGAAGGAAAAGGAGAAAGAGAAGGAAAAAGAGAAAGAGAAGGAAAAGGAGAAAGAGAAGAAGGCTAAAGAGGAGGCGTAGGTTTGGTTTATTGGGATCCAGTTAGATATTGGAGGCTTTGTTTTCATAAATCAATGTGGCTGCAGTTTACTGTAATGAATTACTTAGTATTGAGACTGTATGGATAGACTTCCACAATCCACACAATCATTCATGTAGCAAATAAAAGTCATAATTCATTATTGTGTATGTGCCTAGTCCTAAGGAGATCGAAGTGGTTGATCCGGCAGGTAACACCTACTACTACTGGCTGTTTATTATCACCATCCCCGTCATGTACAACTGGACCCTGATCATAGCCAGGTAACACACACATACACAATAATCTTTTCCATTGACTACATTCAGTTTCCAACAACTTAACCTAACTTTTACCAAAACCTAACTGTACCCCAACCTTTACCATAAGTTAAAGCTGTGGTGACAGACCTTCTAGTGGTCCAAACAATGGTCCAAACAATGTCAGTGAGCTTCCAGTTTGTCCCTACAATGTCAGTGAGCTTCCAGTTTGTCTCTACAATGTCATTGAGCTGACAGTTGTCCCTAAAATGTCAGTGTGATACCAGTTTGCCCCTACACTGTCAGTGAACTTCCAGTTTGTCCAAACAAGGTCAGTGGGCTACCCGTTTGTCCCTACAATGTCAGTGAGCTACCAGTTTGTCCAAACAAGGTCAGCGAGCTACCAGCTTGTCCCTACAATGTCAGCAAGCTTCCAGTTTGTCCCTGAAAGGTCGGTGAGCTTCCAGTTTGTCCCTGAAAGGTCAGTGAGCTTCCAGTTTGTCCAAACCAGATCTGTGAGCTTCCAGTTTGTCCCTACAATGTCAGTGAGCTTCCAGTTTGTCCAAACCAGATCGGTGAGCTACCAGTTTGTCCCTACAATGTCAGCGAGCTACCAGTTTGCCCAAACAAGTTCAGTGGGCTTCCAGTTTGTCCAAATAAGGTCAGTGAGCTACCAGTTTGTCCTTACAATGTAAGTGAGCTTCCAGTTTGTCCCTACAATGTCAGTGAGCTTCCAATTTGTCCCTACAATGTCAGTGTGCTTCCAGTTTGTCCAAATAAGGTCAGTGAGCTACCAGTTTGTCCCTACAATGTAAGTGAGTCAGTGAGCTCCAGTTTGTCCCTACAATGTCAGTGAGCTCTTCCAGTTTGTCCCTACACTGTCAGTGAGCTTCCAGTTTGCCCAAAAAAGGTCAGTGTGCTACCAGCTTGTCCCTACAATGTCAGCGAGCTTCCAGTTTGTCTCTGAAAGGTCAGTGAGCTTCCAGTTTGTCCAAACCCAGATCTGTGAGTGTCCAGTTTGTCCCTACAATGTCAGTGAGCTTCCAATTTGTCCCTACAATGTCAGTGAGCTTCCAGTTTGTCCCTACAATGTCAGTGAGCTTCCAGTTTGCCCAAATAAGGTCAGTGAGCTTCCAGTTTGTCCCTACAATGTCAGTGAGCTTCCAATTTGTCCCTACAATGTCAGTGAGCTTCCAGTTTGTCCCTACTATGTCAGTGAGCTTCCAGTTTGCCCAAATAAGGTCAGTGAGCTTCCAGTTTGTCCCTACAATGTCAGTGAACTTCCAGTTTGTCCAAACCAGATCGGTGAGCTACCAGTTTGTCCCTACAATGTCAGCGAGCTTCCAGTTTGTCCAAACCAGATCGGTGACCTACCAGTTTGTCCCTACAATGTCAGTGAGCTTCCAGTTTGTCCAAATAAGGTCAGTGGGCTACCAGTTTGTCCCTACAATGTCAGTGAGCTTCCAGTTTGTCCAAATAAGGTCAGTGGGCTACCAGTTTGTTCCTACAATGTCAGTGAGCTTCCAGTTTGTCCAAACAACGTCAATGAGCTACCAGTTTTGAGTCCCAATAATATCAGTTTGTTACCGGGTTTGATTCCTAGGAATGTCTGCAGAAACCCGGTTTGGGTCCTCCTAGGTTTTTATCCCCAGTGGGAATGAGCTCCCTAGTTTTTTGTTCCAGCAATCCCAAGTTTTGGTCCTCATTTTGTCAGATAGTATTAGGTTACTTTATAAGTAATACATGTGTGTTTTGTGTGTTTCAGGGCATGTTTTGAGGAGCTACAGACGGACTATCTTGTCTGGTGGTTCATCCTGGACTTTATCTCTGACCTCACCTACATCGCTGACATGATCTTCAGAACAAGGACCGGTCCGAAGGCACACACACAAACACACCAACAGATTGTTTGACGTACTGATGCATTAGTATTGACATACATGGATAAATTACCACAAGTGTGTGTGTGCAGGTTACCTGGAGCAGGGTCTACTGGTGAAGGATGAGCAGAAACTGCGCGAGCGCTACATTAAAAGCTTCCAGTTCAAACTGGACCTGATCTCCATGATTCCCACCGACGTGATGTACCTCGTAATTGGCATCACCTACCCCGAGATCCGCCTCAACAAGCTCTTCAGGTTCAACAGGTACAAATACACACACATAAAACATTAAGTGCTTTATCAAATCATTTGTGCCCACTCATTTGGTACATCAGTGACCAAAGGAGTACTCAGATAATTTATTTAAGTAAAAGGGAAATACTAAAATGTAAAATTAGTTAAAATGAATTCCTACAGTAAAAGCATTTCAACACAATCCAACCAAGAGTTTAGATTTTTCAGTCGGTACTAAAGTGGTGGACCGACATAGAGCCGCTCTGCTAACATGACTAAATACTAATATTTTAACATGCTACAGTCATTTAAAATTCTACACATACTTGAACAAAAATGCAGACAAATTGCTGAGCTTGATATGTTTTTTTATCATACCACACAAAGCGCTCCTGTACTGGCATTAAATAAAATAACATAAACAGACAGAAGGCGCAGGACAACAACACAATCACCCAGAAACCAAATAATAATAAAACAACGTGTCCTAAGCACAACAAGATCTTTTTGTTTGTTTCAGGATGCTGGAGTTCTTCCAGAGGACGGAGACCAGGACTAACTACCCCAACGCTCTCCGTATCTCCAACCTCGTCATGTACATCGTCATCATCATCCACTGGAACGCCTGCCTCTACTACTCCTTCTCCAAGGCCATCGGTGAGGTTGCTGGTTTGAATCCTGACTCCGGTTGTTTCATCGCTGGTTACTGTATAAAAGCCTCTGACACCTTGTGTTGTCCCTTTGCTCCAGGTTTCGGTTCCGACAGGTTTGTGTACCCTGACCCGGCAGATCCAGAGTTTGGTCGTCTGGTGAGGAAGTACGCCTACAGTATGTACTGGTCCACGCTGACGCTCACCACCATTGGAGAAACTCCGCCCCCTGTCGAGAACTCCGAGTACTTCTTTGTCGTCACTGACTTCCTGGTGGGTGTGGCTTAAAGAATAGTTTATTTGGTTTTATTGGTGCCGTTTTATTGGTACCGATGCAAAGACTTTCTGTATTCATAGCATAATAAAACATTTTCTAAATGGTTATTAGTAATACTTATTTAATAAAACATGCTAAATTACCAAGTGGATCAGCAGCCACACAAAAACCTACAGTCCAAAATCACTAAAGCAGGAAAGCCACGTCTACGAGGCTAAGAATCTGACCAGATGTTTAACAGCTTTCAAACACGGGCCTACAAACACATTTGGTTCTTAAAAGGTCCTGAGGTTCAATTTCCAGCTCTACTTTTGCAGCTTTAATCTGACATGAAATATTTCAATTCCACAATGTTCATTAAATTTGTATTACAACATTTCTACAAATATTGGTCCACTTGCAAAAGTAGATGAGGTTTTGATGTTTGTACATTGTAGCAGGTCAGAATACTTGTGAATTTGTTTAGACAGCGGTGTCACTTCTAAACAGATGTGGAATGCACCTAAATATTTTACTCAAGTACTCTTTAGTTTACTCTTTATTTTATTGTATTTTAATTTTATGCTTATATCTGAAATAAGCATGTCTGTGTCTTGAGCACTGTCAACCATCATGTCAGTTCTTTATTCTCCTGCTGCTCCACCTTAAAACACTTGTTCATCATTAAAGGAGATTAATATTGTCCTCACCTTTGTTTGTTGTATAAACTGCTTTGGCATTTTTCATACAGTTGCATACACAGCAGATGTACCACACTAAAAAGTATATGATAATATTTCTGTTCTGTTCTCCTTCAGGTGGGCGTGTTGATCTTTGCCACCATCGTCGGTAACGTTGGTTCGATGATCACCAACATGAACGCTGCCAGAGCCGACTTCCAGGCTCGCATCGACGCCATCAAACAGTACATGAGCTTCCGAAAGGTGACATACTTAGTGAGGAGGTTATGTTTCAGTGCACGTGGTGCACAAAATTGTTTTAAGAAAAGTCATTAAAATAAAACGTCTCGCAGGGATGAACATCACACTTTTTAATTGCATTCATTTGATTAACTTCATTTGGCAGAAGCTTTTATCCAAAGCAAGCTACATCTGTTCTCCTGCATACGGAACATCTTCTCACATCGCCACAGGTTTGACCTTTAACCCCTGCTCCACCCTCTGTGCCCCCCCTCCAGGTAACTAAGGACCTGGAGAAGCGAGTGATCAAGTGGTTTGACTTCCTGTGGACCAATAAGAAAGCAGTGGATGAGAGGGAGGTGTTGAAGTACCTGCCTGACAAACTGAGAGCCGAGATCGCCATCAACGTCCACCTGGACACCCTCAAGAAGGTCTGCACACACCTAACAACACTCCTCATTAAAAATCGATTGAAGTGACAGAAAAAACAGCAGGGTTTCTGTTTTGTGTCGGCGTGCAGGTTCGTATCTTTGCGGACTGCGAGGCCGGTCTGTTGGTGGAGCTGGTGCTGAAGCTGCAACCTCAAGTCTACAGTCCAGGAGATTACATCTGTAAGAAAGGCGACATTGGCAGAGAGATGTACATCATCAAGGAGGGAAAACTCGCTGTTGTTGCTGACGACGGTATCACGCAGTTTGTCGTCCTGAGTGACGGAAGCTACTTTGGCGAGATCAGCATCCTGGCTATTAAAGGTAAACTGACGTCGGTTATTGCGTTAAGACATTAAGACATTTACAAAACATGCTCAGAAAAGTGGGACTTTGTACTCTGACAAGATTTTGATGAGTCATGTCCCAAAAGTTTCCTCCAAACCTCTCCGCAGCCCCTTCGATCAAGAGCGCCATCTAAAAGGAGATTATACGTGTGGTCCTCGATTTGTCCACTCCAAAGGGATGATCGTGTTGCTCTGGATGTGGAGCTAGATGGCTGTTTGCTAACATGTTAGCATCAACTGATGTTTAAGACAGTGGTCCTCACGCCCCCCTTCACAAGCCAAAAAAGTATATCATATTTATGCATCTTTAGGTGTGCTCAACATCCACGACCCCCCTTAAGTGGCTCTAACTGCCCCCAGGGGGGCCCGCCACTCAGTTTTAGAGCCATTGGTTTAAGGTGGCAATATGTCAGAGCTTTGCATTTGTTTTGGATGTACATCTTGCCGTTTTACCGCCACTTTTGGAATCCTGAGACCCAGGGCCAGCCCTAGGTGAGATTTGAAATTTGGTGCACCCAGTCCTAAAAAGTCCACCACAGTTGTTGGGGTCATCACTCCTCAGGAATTGTTAAAAAAGTTCATGCTCTGTATTTGTAATCAAAGCTCTTTTACATTACATCTGCATTCACACACATTCATACACTGGCGGAACAGCCGCCAGGGGCAATTCAGGGTTCAGTATCTTGCCCAGGGACACTTCGACATGCAGCCTGGGGGAGGCAGGGATTGAACCGCCGACCTTTCGATTAACGACCAACCCGTTAATCTACCCCCTGAGCCACAGCCGCCCCAGTTCAGAAGCCAAACTCACAATTTTATTATTATAGATGACCTGTCAATTCAATAATCATGGTCAGTAATGAAGAAGTGTGATCAGCCTCCACATCATGGCCTAAATTGGGAATGTGTCCTCCCATAAACTGTGTGTCGGCACAGATACTATTTTCTTGCATTGTAGTAAATTTATGGGGTAATTTTCCTGAAATGCAAGAGCACTGGTTTAGATTCAAAGGTGGTGGGGAAAGATGAAGAGGATTAAGCATTAAAGACTTAATTTCCTGCCTTTATGGTGTGCAGAAATGTCTTAAAGGGAAACACAATATTCAGGCAGCAGGTGACAATTCAAAATATAAAGAAATATTAGACTATAATGCTGTAAGGCTCTCAGGCATTCTGTAGCTAATGCTTTAAATGTGTTTCTCCTGTAGATTAACTTTTCTAATTTAGTAAAACCCCTGCTGAGTCAGCACACATGCTTAGTCCTCTCTCCTCTTTTCAGTCTCTGTTTGGGGAAGTAACCTCTTTAAATGTGCATGTGGCACCTTTTCACCTCTATGATAAATTAATTATATTTAATTCAGTTAGAAACTCCTGGACTTTAATAGCTCCTGTGTTTCAGCAGGATTTCTGCGCATTCAGAATCTCTCCCACATATCAAAAAATATTATAGGACCAACGTCATAATTTAATGAGAATTCATAATATTTTTATCTCTACCTGCTCTATAGCCTACTCTGCTGTGCATTACACTATTGATCCGCTGTTAAACAGGCTATCCCCTTTAGACCGTATGACGGACACATTTAGGGACTGCATGCTGCATGTGAAACCGAAACCCACTGATCAGGCAGAAATCTCACCACAAATTCACACACATGTTAACTTCAACATCTCTGATAAAGGGCAGCTCACAGTCCGGAACAGAGCAAGGCTCAGGTTGTTATTGTTTTCTAACAGTCTATCTTGTTCTTTAACAGGCAGTAAGGCAGGAAACAGGAGGACAGCCAACATCAGGAGCATCGGTTACTCCGACCTCTTCTGTCTTTCCAAAGATGACCTGATGGAGGCGCTAACAGAGTATCCTGATGCTAAAGCTCTGTTGGAGGAGAAGGGAAGGCAGATTCTGATGAAGGATGGACTGCTGGACCTGGAGGTACAGTCATGTGATCTGATACAGTAACCAAACCGAACAACAAACAGGCTGATCTGCTAAAGTAACGTCATAACCGGTGTCGTCCTTTAGGTGGCAGCGCAGGGCCCCGATCCCAAAGAGATCGAGGAGAAGGTGGAGAAGATGACGAGCACGCTGGACGTCCTGCAGACGCGTTACGCCCGCCTGCTGGCCGAGCACGAAGCCACTCACAGCAAACTCAAACACCGAGTCACCAGGCTGGAGAGGAAGCTGGTACCACCGCCACGGGCCGACCAGCCGGGAGATGCTCCGCCCCCGTCTACACCTGAGCCACAGACAACTAAAGAAGAAGAAGAGAAGAAGTAGGGTGAAGAGGAGCAGCACTGGGATGTTTGATTTTAGACACTGGGTTAGCCAGAAGGGTGGGGAACATGTTCTGACATTATATTGGATGAAACTCAAATATTTACAAAACTCAGAGACACATTTCTGTTCCTCAAAGTTAGATTAATCTTACATCCCTTTAAGTTCACTCAAGGTTGCTGTTCACTTTATGTTACATCAGTTCACTTAATGTAGTTCACGGCACTCTGATTATATATTATCACAGTAGTTAATTGATCTGAATAATCATTGTGCACAACATGTAATTCTGCTTTATGAGCAACACTTCCTGGAAGAGTCACGATTTTCCTCCAAATTCATTAAAATGTTGTAAACGTACAAGCTGACAGTTGTGTTTACACTGGAAACAAACTGAAGTCAAAGTGGACTGACTCCAGATCAGTTGACTGCCTGTACGTAAAGGAACTGCTGCGTCAGCGGAGCACAAGAGGACGACCGAGCTTCAGGACAAGTGAGGGAGAGACAGAAAGTGTTTCTTACGTTTGTAGCAAATATTTCTTCTATTTCTAAACTTTGTAACTGTAATGTAATATATATTAAATAATAAGCGCCACATCTGTTCCTCAAGATCGTTTCTACATCCCAGAAACAGTCTGGCATGTTTATGAGTCTGTCAGCGTTATAAAAACATATTTAAAGATTCAGTGTGTACATTTTAGTGGTGAGGGTTGCAAATTGCAAACAGCTGTTCAGCCACCGCTCACACTTCTGTTTGCAAGCGAGCAGAAGCTACAGTGGCAGACACAGCTCTGTCCGCTCTTGTCCTCCATTTGTCCAAATTTCTCTTCTTGTCTTGCTTCTAATAAACCAGACGACTACTATTACAACTAGTACTTCTAATTCTTCTTTGTATATATTTATATTCTCTGTAGGTCCGTTTGTCCTGTTCATGCTACTGTAGAAACATGATGTATGTAGATAGAAATGTCTCATTCTAAGGTAATGAAAACATAATGGTCCATTATGTAAGGTCTTTATACACCACTGAAAACATAGCTATGGATCTTATATTGCATTTCTGTCAATTAATCCTCAGAGATATTACACACTGAACCTTTAAACAAACAGCTAATCTGAGAACCTCCACTTAGTTTAACTTAATCTGAATCTGATGTGTCGTGTCTTTGCAATATTTAAAATAAAATTGAATTTATTTCATTTTCATTTCACTGACTTTTATCCAGACAGACTCTGCTGGGATTGGCTGTAGAACAAGCTTCACTTCCTAGATCACCTGCTTTAAAACCATCAGAGGTCAAAGGTCAGCAGATATGACCGCAGCCTGCATGTACATCCCTAGTTTTTTTGTTTTTCTATAAAGAAGATTTTGCCTTTCCTGTATATGTTTATTTTTCTCTGAGGGCTTGGCCGGCCAGTCACATCACTGCTTTGTGTAAAAAGTTGTTAAAGCTACTTAGCAAAAACATGAACCAAACTAACTCTGGAAGCACTGCACTGAAATAAAGATATTTTATAAGGAAAGTCGGATCTGCCTTTCTTATTTTCACACAGCTGTACTGAAACTATCTACCTACCTAGTGAATATGCACTATTACCACTACAGCTGCTACTTCTAAAGTACTTTTATTACCTACAGACTTCTACAAATTTTTTGTCTTCATTTTCAAAAATCTATTTTATTTATTTGAATACTTGTGTGAGTATATTTAAATGACTACTTTATTACATTTAATTAATTAAGCGCTGCATTTTATTATCCAAACAAACGTCAGGATTTTTTTCTTCCTTCATGAATGAAACGTCCAGCTTTTTGTCGTTGACACGTCGCACCGCCTGCGTGTCTCTGTGCGCGCTGGGATTTGTAGTTCTCTTCTCGTTGAAACCTCCAGGCTGTGCAAGCAGCATAGGTTTACAGGACTACAAGTGCCGGCATGCACCGGGTTGCTCTGCGCATGACAACGCAACGGGCTCCGCTGCTGCTGTAGAGTGCTGAGGTGTGTTTTACGCGATGCTGCTTAATTTACTTTTCTCTTGGTTATTTAATCTGTAACATTTAGCTACAGCAGCTCAGCTTAATGTTTATATTTTAATAACGGCTGTTTGATGCGTGTGACGTTTGTTTCCGCCTGTTTTTACAGCTAGTTTTATTGACAGCTAGCCGGTTAGCTACGGCTAAGCTAACAGTTTGAACTGAGCCGTTGACGTTGACCAGCTCGGTCGATGTCGCTCAGTTCACTAGTTCACTAGTACATTATTGGTTAAATAGTGAGGCAGCGGGTCACTGTGGGTTACTGGTGTGTCTTGTAGCTGCTACAACAACATGTTAGCTGGACAAACAGCCGGACAAAGGTCTGTTTAAGGACTCTGTGTGCTATCTCCTGTCACCAGACTCCAGTCAAAAATCTGCTCATTTACTGCTGCTGTGCTACAATCTTTAATAGAGGTACTTACATATGGTCTGATATAACGAGGAGGGGATTATTCTATAACACAGAAACATTAATGGGCTTTTATTAAGTTTTTCTTTTAGGGGAAAACGGACAACTACCTTCCTGCAGCCTTCACACAACGACAAAATGTTACACGGTGTGCTGACACAAACTAAACAAGTTGGGAGACATTTCTGCAAGAAGAATTAAACTTTCATTACAACCCAAATCAAACAGCTGGACCGTCTACGCCACTTCGTTTTAGTTTAAAAACGAATATGATCTCTGTCCACACCATCGTCTTAGCTGCATATCAGACTTGATCTGCATCTATTTTAAAACGACCGAAAACGCTCATCTAGTGGCCGTTCACATGCGCGTGCTGGTGTAAACATAAGACAGATGGTCTATTCCAAAGTTCCAGATGATTTGGCGAAAGAATAAAGTACTACAGACGAAGAATCAGTCCAGATTTTATATTGCATGGACCGTTAACGAGCTGGGACTGTTGACTGAATGAAACATGGGAGGTAAAAGCGACTATGGCCGTGGAGAACATGCTGGGAGCCATCGCAAAGTAAATACGTTGACATACATAGCAAGGTACAAGATATTTCTATAAAAAAAATACCAAGTCAGAAACTCTGTCACCAGTTTCGGCTTACGACTTATGAGACCCAATCAGAGAGCTGAGCGTGAGCGGCTGCGTCGTGGTTTCTAAAGTCCGGCAGCGTTTTAGCGTTTTTCTCCGTTTTAGGTCTTCGCTTTAGCTGTTTTAGTGTGGACGGGAGGTGCAAACAGAGCAAAAGGTCTGTTTTAAAACCAAAAGGCAGCAGTGTGGACGGGGCCTGTAGTGGACATCCAGGTTGGCACAGCAGCACAGAGGAATGAAAAGAAAGAGGCACAAAATATAATGAAAGTGCTGTAGTGTCAGTTATCTCTCTACGTAGATGAGTGAATAAATATATTTACACTCTAAACACTCAAATACAGTAACAGTAACTTGTTATTGTAAAAGTAAATAATGAATTAATGTAAAATCAAAGTAGAATCAAATTTACATGACTGCTGAACAAAGAACCTAACTGTTTAAATACGGATTAATTGTAAAAGTGAAGTACGTTCAACACCCGTCTCTCCGTCATATTCCCCACCTGTAGCGTTTCGGAGGCGGTTGCCATGGAGCCAGCCTGGCGGCAGCAGGGCAGGGGGCGTGGCCGGGGCCAGGAGGCTCCGGGTGAAAGGTCACGACCCCTGCAGAAGGAGAGAGAGAAGCCGGGGGCCGCTGCAGCAGGAGCGTGGGGGGCAGGACGAGGAGGGCGGACAAAGTCCGCCACGGCGCCTGAACCTCAGCGCGGTGAGGACGGACTCGTTAACGCTGTCCTGGCGTGTTTCTTACAGAATATGAGCTGGCGTGATGAAATCCTCTGAACAGGAAACGGCCACAACTGACGGCAGTTTTTATCTGATCTTCCTCTCTGTGTGTGGCCGCCAGGCGTGTCGGTCCAGTCCAAGTTTGAGGAGATCAGGAAGTCCAACCAGGCTGCTGCTCAGCGATTGGTGGAGAGCCGTATCAGCTGCTCCTCCTCTGATGAAGACGACGACGATGATGGAGCTGTTGACCATAATGATGGAAAGAGAGGGAAGATCCTCTCATCGACCTTCACCACCTACACCGACCAGACAGGTGAGCCAGGTGTTACTATAGCAACAGCAGGTTACTTAGACACAACCCTTTTAATAGTTAAGTTAATAGTTCCTCCAGTTTTTGTCGTTGCTGAATTTTTTGTTTTACAGTCCGACACATAAAAACCACAGCTCGTCAAGCTTTACCTGTACTGCTGTGTGGAATTTATTTCCTTTGGACCGAGCTGGGCTAGCTGCTTCCCCCTGTTTCCAGTCTTTATGCTAAGCTAAGCTAAGCAGGGGCTTTAGCTTAACGTTCAGAGTGGAGAAGAAGAGGGTCAAACGGTTCCTGTAATATCTGTCTGTCTGCAGGTGGTGACGCCACAGGTCTGCTCAGAACCGGTCAGTACGTCAGTGACCTGTTTCAGTCTGGAGCTCTCACCTGTCTGATCTGCATCGCCTCCGTCAAGAGGACCCAGGCGGTGAGGAACGCACGCACAGATTTTCATTATTAAAATATTTGGCAAATCATTTTCTGTTCAGTTTTTTTTGTTGCTTCCTTTCAGTCAAACACTGTCATTACTGCAGCAGCAGCAGGAAGATCTGTAGCTCCGAATGGACGAGTCAAGCTTTTAGCCAAACATTAAGTAAATGAACCTTTAATGTCCGGATCACACTGATTCAGTATATTACTGGGATTTAATTTTAAACACAGCCAGGGAGTACTGACAAAGACGTGATACCTGCTCAATAGTGGCCCTTACTGGTTCGACCGTTATGACCATGAACGGGTGTTAAGTTTCATCCCATGTGATATTAAAAGTTCTTGAATTTAATTTGGTGAACTTTCCAGAAACCCTGTAGAAAGAGCCGGACCGCAGAGTGTTGGATCTGTTCTGTAGACGCCTGCAGCTCCTTCAGTTTCAACATGCTGCAGTCTGAGGACAGTCAAAGCTAACCTCTCTCTCTCTCCCCAGGTGTGGAGCTGCTCCAGCTGTTTCTCTCTCTTCCACCTGCCCTGTATTCAGAAATGGGCCAGAGACTCTGCCTTCCTCGTCTCCTCTGTCACTGATGAAGACTTCGGTCAGAAGCAGCATCCCTGGCCCTGGTGAGGACAACACACCTGACGCCTCTTTTGTTTTTAGGTTTTCTTTCTTGTCCTTTGTTGTAAGTTTGTTTGAGTGTCTAAACCTCAGGAGATGATCTAAGATGAAGACATTAGGCACCGTTTTTTTTAAAGATATCTTATATAATTTAATGGTGGACATTAGGACCCAGCAGAAAACATCATGTGACGTGTAAAGTGTCTGAAGTTTTCACATCCACTCAGGGAGACCTGTACCTGTACACAAACGGCTTTACCTGAAGTTCAGTCAGCTCCACTTCCCTCTGTGGGCTCCTCAGTCCTTAACACCTCCATCCAGGATGCCACCAGACTCTGTGTTTTATGACGTGCATGTTTGTTTTGGTACAAGAACACGTTTTCTTTGGATTTGGTGGGTCTTCTACCTGCAGAGCTCCTGTGGTTAGTGAGCAGTGCGTCGGTGTGTTGTCTGGTGGATTTACTCAGTCGTCAGGTTTCTGCTTCTTCCTGTCTGTCAAACAAAAAATCTTTTTGTTGTTTGTCCTTGTAGCTTTAGATTTGCCCAGAGAAAATTAATCTTTAACATTTCTGATGGTAGATTCATAGTTTGAGTCATTTTATAAAGTCAAAGATTCAAACATGATCCTTTCAGATGTACAATCAGCTTGTCTTGTCATTATTGAATATTTGGGCCGTTGGTTGGACCAAACAAGACATTTGTATCAGACATTTTAACTGTTGTGATGTTTTACAGCCAAATGATTAAAGCATGATGAATCACAGATGAATCAGTTATAAGAATCATCAGTTACATCTCTAATCTTTCCTAATTTTCTGTCCGCAGTCCAAAGTGTCGAGCAGAATATCCTCCGAGTGCCACGCCCAACAGGTACGTATTATAAATTCACTGTATGAAGTTTTATGGACTTTAGAGCACGTCCAGGCTGCATTCACACTGTACAACCTCTAACAACACCTGTGGATGTCCGCAACAAAGGCCAGGTCTATTTTTAAGAAATGTTGTTATGGGCTGGCCCAACTGGACCCATACAGACTGTGAGATGGACAAATCAAAGGCACTAACACAAAGGCTGAGAGAGTAAGTAAATCATCATCCAGATGTTGCTGCTCATCAGGCATGAGCGTATGGATGTTTTACAGATATCAGAGAGCAACCTCTGCTGTGTTGTCTGAGCACTGTGTGTTAATCTCAGGCGTTGGCCTGCGTGCGTACAGTTTTGGCCTGTGACATGTTCAGAAGCGCTGCTGTGGGAGAACAGCGTCCTTTTCCTGTTGTAAATTAATCTGTAGACTTCCTCCCACATCTGAGGACAACAGCTGTGATCGGTGACTGTTCATTTCAGTTAGTCAAATTTAAAACGGACGACGATTCACATGATGAAATGTATGAAAATGTCCCCAGAAACCTGAAGATTAAACATACATGAATACAGTCTGTTGCAGTCCAGCAGAGGGCTCCACACTCCAGACAGTACGAAACGTTAAGAAGTCAGACTAAAGTTTCTATAAAGACTTAAAGCAGTGGAGCTGGTTTCTTTCAAAATAAGTCTTTTCAGGGAAACAACTTTGAAACTGAATCAAAGCTCAGTTCAGACAAACTTTAATGTCAAAATGGTGACATTGTAATTCTTGTGCTCAAGGGAATTGTTATTTTATTAGTAATGTTTTTTAAGCAAAGAGTCTGAGTTAATTATTGGGGAAAATAATCATCTGATTAGATTTAGTTTTTTGTTGAAGTCCTAAGCTGCTGCAAATTTCTTTACGTTTACCTTTTTCTGTGTGTGTGCTGTGTTCAGGTACATGTGTTACTGTGGGAAGCTGCAGGATCCTCCAGCTGACCCCTGGTTGGCCCCTCATTCCTGTGGCTCCGTCTGTCAGAAGGAGCTCAAACCCACATGTGGACACACCTGTCTGCTGCTCTGTCACCCGGGTAACCACACACACAACCTTGTTTATTGCCTTGTTAATATCCTGTCAGAGTAATTAACGGATTCATTACCATCAATAAACACGTGTATTTTCAGGTCCGTGCCCTCCGTGTCCAAAGATGGTGGCAGTTTCCTGTATGTGTGGCAAAGCTAAGCCCCTCCCCCGTCGCTGTAGCAACAAGGTACGCATAAAAAGTAGAAAAGATCAAAAGTTTAAAGCTTTAAACTTTGTTATTGACGTGTTTCACTGGACTGGATTTGACTGATGAAAATGATCCAATCAGAAGCGGCGAGAGATGATTGGCGGCTTGAAATGATAAACGAGTGAAGACTGCAGGGCTAACTGTGTGTGTGTGTTGTCTCTCCAGGCCTGGTCGTGTCAGAAGCAGTGCAGCAAGTTGTTACCCTGTAAACAGCACACCTGTACGCAGCCCTGTCACACAGGTACACACACAGATCCAGACACAGCCACAAGTTCTGTTTCTGAACAGTGACAGACACTGTTCACTATGATGTGCACTGTATTTTTAAGTTCTGTAGTTTGAGTGTCTGAAATTTATCCTCCATATATGTTCCAGTCCAATACTGGAACAGAAAAACTAAATGTCTCTACTCAACCCTACCAATCCCACAATGCAATGCATCACATTTTATAGATGTGAAAATTACTGTGTCGTAACAGTGATGCTACAAAATGATTATGATAAGTGTCAAACACAGGCTGTATAAAACATGGACATAGTTGCCATGATGTCACCATTAGGTTTCTGTAAGTGTGAAGCTCACTGTGTCGCCATCTTGGCAGTGCCTGACTCAAAGAGTTGGAGCTGAGGTGAGCTGAATGAAGCCTGGTTGCTGCAGACCTGTGATGGAACCCATCTGCCACATTTAAAGTGGCCAAGCCCTTTATTATAAATAACTTTAACATGAACATGAAAGGGGAAATTAGCCATTGAGACAAACTGTTTGTCGACTCACTACTTCTGCCCTCAGTGGACTGATCTCACTAGGTTCACTTCAGTTTTTTATACAAAAGGAACGACCCTTGTGATTGCGGGCCGCCGTGTTATTGATGAAGTTATCAGCTGCTAAGGACCGCCAACATGGCCGCCTGTAACTCCTGTCTGTGTCTGTCAGAGTGCTCCCCCTGTCCAAGAGTCAGCGTGCAGAAATGTGTGTGTGGACGAGAGAAAGCAGAGAGACCCTGCGCCAGCCCTCGGTGGAACTGTCAGCAGGTACTACTGCACTCAAAATACAGTAATAATGTACTGTTACACTGTGATACTGCTCTCTGCTGGACTGTTAGGCTTCACAATGTCAGCAGGCACTACTACACTCATAATACTGCACTTTTGCTACTGTAATACTGCTCTCTGCTGGACTGTCTGCTGGACTGTTAATGATACACAGCAACTTTTAGAGCAATCGTGCAGGGCAACGTTGCTGTCAATGGTAATGAGTAGGGATGGGGATTGTTAATGTTATTGATATTGATACCCTTATTGAGACTGTTTAACGATCTGATTCTTTATCGATACCACTATCGATACTTTACTATTATTTAGTGATGGTTATTTAGTAAACCAGGCATGAGGTTGGCCTGCACGGTATGTGGAAAATATTCAGTGTGCGATAACGTTATATATTGAGATGACATATCACTTGCGATAAATAAACATATGTTAAAGTGTGCATATTAACTGCCTAGTTGTTTTTATTTTAATATTTTAAATACAGCTAAATGTTGTTTTTAGAGCATTAATGTTTACAACAGCAAAGTAACTCAATAACTTTATCTGACATCACAAGTAGTGAGTGATGTTTAGAAATAATAACATCAGTCTGTATCAGTCCCTCCTCCTCTTTTCGCTGGCTGCAGGTAATGTTACCAGGTAGAAGGAGGTGCGGCTGGTTTGTCTCAGCCAGCAGTTGAGTTTTTAAGACTACAGACCAGTCTGTGCTTCAGACAGACAGCTTTCTATTTAGCTTGTTTTTAACATTTGGCTAATGCCAAGCTAGCGTTAGCTGTGGTTATATAAAACAGGATGATATGCTGAAGACAGAGATGATTTAATTACCATTTCTACATGTTTAACGTTACCTTACAGACCGGTGTGTTGATAAAGTATTGTCTTTTTACTTGCGAAGTTTTATCGCATGTACTTACAGTAACGAGCGCAGCTGTCATCCAACTAACGTTACAGTAGATTCCACCGCGACGGTGCAGCCTGTCGCTCAGCTGCCGCTGTGTGTGTGTGTGTGTGTGTGTGTGTGTGCGCGCTCCTCCACACAGAGAGCAGGCAGAGACTGCAACCTGATGATTTTCTTATCCATTGCGTTTCAAATTAAATTAGATTTGACGCTCGAAATTTAACGTTACATCATAGGACCCGCAAGTCTCGATAGCAGTATCAATAAGCTCGAACCTTATGGATTTTCGGGTTTTTTGAGAAATTTTGGATCCGGTTTGATCCCCATCCTTAGTAATGAGTAAAGATTACTACCGTAATCCCCTTCCCCCACCACTTTGCCACCCGCTGATAGTTGATCTTGCCACTAGCAAGACTGCTCATAAAGTTGCCCCGTGCATCATCAGCTTTAGGCTCCACACTGTCAGCAGGCACTACTACACACATAATACTGTAATTCTGTAATACTGCTCTCTGCTGGACTGTTGGGCTCCACGCTATCAGCAGTTACTACTACACATATAATACTGCAATACTGTACGGTAATTCTGTAATACTGCTCTCTGCTGGACTGTTGGGCACCACGCTGTCAACAGGTACTACTACACAAATAATACTGTAATACTGCACTTTTATACTTTAATGCTTCACTCTGCTTGACTGTTACTGTCCACACTGTCAGCAGGTACTACTTAGCTGATAATAGTGCAATACTGTACTGTAATACTGCTCTCTGCAGGACTGTTAGGGTCCACACTGTCAGGGGCTGTAGGTGACCTGAATTCAAACTTGGAAGCTGTGTTGTTGCCGTGTTTTTTGTTGTTTTTACTGTTTATTTTAAAGGTTAGCTAACTTGGCGTTAGCATATTGCGCGGCTAATGTGGTTAGTAGGCTCGGCGATGTTGGACTAACGGTGTGATACTCGGGGACAGTCGAGAGAAACTGTGAACGATAGGCCTCATTTGAAGCTCAAGCTCAGCAAATAACAGCCTGCAGCTGTTTTTCATGTTGCTTTCTGGGAATTTAGTTATAACGTTAATACAGCCCCGTGGTTAGTTGTGGACAGCCCTTTCTGCTTCGCACTGCTGTGTGTTGGGGTGTGTGTTTGCGTTGTCATTAATTGAATGATAGACTTAATCTGAACGATATTTGCTCTCTCAATTCGGGTACTTCCTTTAGTATACTAACATGCTGTAAACTGCGGACCCTATGTACTTACTTGCTTAGTGCGTTAATTTTGCGAGGGTAGTGTTGTCTCAAATAAAGCGCTGCTGTTGTGCACTAACCGGAAATGACTATCGCAAGATTGCAAAATCCCCCCAGCACAGATACTGCCTGCAGAGCTCAAAATAACAGCCAGGCTTTATCACCCAAAATAAAATGCTCAGAATTGGGTTTATTGCCAAGTTCAAACATACAAGTAATTTTCTTTGGTATATTGGTGCATAAATAAAAGCAATAGAAAGCAAGTAGTGTAAGCACAACTGTACACTAACAATGTAATGTCAGATTTTATGATGATGATAATAACAAATAAAGCAACGACAGTCCCCTTTTCATTCGTATTTTTGCTTATTTATTTTAAGTTTCACAAGCCAAGAATTTTCTGTACATCACAAGGCAGATGTCTCTTGATTTGATTTAAATTACTCAAAAGGTAATGACAGAACTTTTCAACTCCGAAAACGTTCAAGCACATTTTTGATCTGGCATCAGTTGTTGTACAACTGTCAAAAGTGTATTTAGTGATGAAATAGTGTACGAAACTTGTAAAAGACGTTCTGTTGTTGGCCCCTCTCTCTGCTGCTTTCTGCTTCTCCCGTGCTGTTGGTCCCGCCCACTTCCACTTCCACAAGTGTCCAGCGTTCCACACTCAACTTTCTGGCCGTTATGACTGCGCCATCGGGGTATTTTCAGTGCTCTGCATTTTGCCATACTTCTCAGTGTGAACGCACTTACGCACTCAAAATAGTACATTTAAGTATGGAAGTGTGCAAATTGAGACACAGCTACTGTCAAACTACAAAAATGAGTTGGCAGTGTTGTTGGCTAGCACACAGCAGCTATCTTGCTCCGAACATAATGCTGCTGTTAGCGGCTCACTGTGCAGTGAGGTGAGATCCAGAGACACTGTTACTATGCTGTAGGGCACCAAATTACTTAATTGATGAAAAATGCGATAATACCGCATACTGTTGAATCCCCCCTCCTCTTCCCTCTGTTCCCTCCTCTCTCAGGTGTGTGGTTCTCTCCTCTCCTGTGGGAATCACACCTGTGAGGTTGTCTGCCATGATGGAGTTTGTCCTCCGTGTCCTCGCTCAGTCAGCAGATCCTGTCCCTGCGGCAAGACCAGTGAGAGAACGAGAACACACACACACACACACACACACACACACACACACACACACACAAACAAACAAAGCTGTCTGTGTGTTTCCTAACTGGCCACATGAACAGATAGAGGGCTAATCTGAAACTTCAGCTGTGTTTTAAAGGTCAGGAAGATTATTTATTCAGTTTGAAATGTTACTTTTTTCCCCTGACCTTTAAGCAGAGGTTTTGTTGAATTCATAAAGTGAGATTAACACATTTAATCCGTCTGTTTGTGTAATAACAAAGAAATGATGTGGAGCCTTTTTGATGATGTGGAGCCTTTTTGATGATGTGGAGCCTTTTTGATGATGTGGAGCCTTAGCGTTTTACTGAACAAAATCCTAATGATGCCTTGTTAGATAAAGAAAACCTAATTAAATGGAGTGTGAAACGTTGGGATGTCAGGAAGATAAGAAATCTTTTATTGATCCTGCTGCAGCAGCACAAAGACTACATACATCATTAGTAGTTTGTGAAATGATAAAAAAACAAAATAGAAACTATACAAGAGCAACCAAACTCAAACTTATAATGCAAGCAGTACACATTCACAGTACTCACTAGTACAGCGTAGTAATAAATATACATTTCTGTAAGTATTACATGTATTATTTTTGGTGTTATTTAACACAATTCAACATTTTGAGCACAGAAAAAGATTTCTTGTGAAACTGAATGTGGAGTGTTTCTGTGTTGGAGGGTCAGCTAGCTATTTATGGAAACCTCTGAGTTCATGTGGATAAAAGCAAACTCATAAATACATGTTTGAGTGCAGAAGGGAGTTCTGTTTGCTCAAAGTACAAGATCATTTCTGTGATAATGATTCAAAGAATGATGGATCTTCTGTGTGCTTCAACACGTCAGAACTTCTTGTAAACAAACAATAAATAAAATCGCACACTCCTCTGTCTCACTCTCTGCTGGTGCTTCCAGAGTCGTCTCTGCCGTGCACAGAGGAAGTGTTGCCGTGCGGCGACACATGTGACCGCCGGCTGTCGTGCGGGAAACACACCTGTTCAATGAGGTGTCACAGAGGGAGCTGCGAGACCTGCAGACAGGTGACACACACACACTCAAAGAGAGAGACACACACACACAGAAACACACTGACGCTCTCTGTCTGTCTGTCAGGAGGTGGAGAAGGAGTGCAGGTGCGGTAAATACAGGAAGCTGATGCCGTGTCATAAGGAGTACCTGTGTGACTCCAAATGTCCCCAAACCAGAAGCTGCCAGAGACACCAGTGCAGGAGGAAGGTGAGCCTCGTCATCACCTCGTCTGTCCGCTCCAGATCACTCAGTTATTCATGAGGCTGTAAAGTGTCAGAGAAAGTCTAAACACACAGTGAGAGTTTGACAACAATCCTGATAATCAATGAATTATTTATATTTATCCATCACAACACCAGCCTGCTGACCCTCGTGTCCACTGACTCACATCTGTGTTGTGGTTCAGACGTCCACAGGAAGCGTTTCACAGTAGCTTAGAAACACGTCTCACAGTCAGTCAATTCTACCACGTACGAGGCTCTGATTCCCGAACCGACAGATTTTAGTTTTTGTGTTCAGATCAGTCCTGGATGTGTGTGTGTGTGTGTGTGTTTCCTGTGGCGTAAATGTCAGGTGTCTAATCTGTGTGTGATCTGATAGTTAAAGGTTGGCTGAAGGTTTCTTTGTGATGTGACAGGAGTCTGTTATCAGACACAGTGAGCTGATAGGAACGTTTCATCTCTCTGGATCGTTTTCAGTCTTTATAACTTCACCTCTGAGGTTTTTACCTTCTCTCAGAACAAGTGAAAAGCTGAACAGCAGAGGAAAGGTCCTTCACTGTGGAGGCAGAGAGTCAGGAGAGAAAACGTTCTGTGAAATTAAACGAGCGATGTTTAAATCTTTCTGCTGTTTGTTCTCCTTTTTAAACTCCGTTTCCCACGATGCCTTGTGTCTCAGTGCTGCCCTGGTAACTGCCCGCCATGTGACCAGAGCTGTGGACGAACTCTGGGGTGTCGCAACCACAAGTGTCCCTCTGGCTGTCACCCAGGTAACGCACACGCACACACGGCGGCTCCTGAGTGTCTCTTTATGATGAGTTTGTTGCTTCTGTCCTTCCACAGCGTGAATGTTGAGTTTAGATTAGCGCTGCAAGTGGCCATCCTTTTCATTAGTGAATAAATCAGATTCTTTATCGGCCCTTTTTTGGAAATCTGTGCACAGCCTCACCTGAAAACAGCATGAACATCATATATCAGACATTTAGACTCAAATTGACACCAATCAAAGATCCTTTCTCACTTAGCGAGAAGTTTTGTCAAAGTCCTTGTAGACAAGTCCCGCCGCTCGGCAGACATCTTGGCAGCTATTTCAGGCTAACGAGACCGGGGGCCAAATCACAGACACTTCCTAACCAGCAGCTCCTATCCTAACTGCTTAGTAACCATGGCAATAAGGGTTAGGAGCTGATTTAGGAATAAGGCCATTACAGATTAACAGTTCCTAAATCCTTTCTAAAGACAGGAAAAATAAACTGTTAAACTGTCCTAACTTTTACTTTTCCGCCAGGTAGTGTTTATTATCATTTAATCCACATGGCTGCTCTTTTATCGCTTATACAAAATCAATAAAATGTCAACAGGCGCAACTTATTAATTGATTCTACAGACGTGTTTGATGACAAAACACTCGTTAGCTGAAAGGCTGTAGGCGATGCAACGCTAGATAATATCTCATTATAGGCCCATAATGTAAAGGCTTGACGTAACATAAGGATCCTAATGCAAGTCTTTGATAGGAGGAGATCGTTAAATTCAAGAAATACATGACGTTGGCATTTATTAATATTATTATTATTATTATTTTCCGAGAAGACGGGTTTCTGCCGGGGTCAGTGAGGAAACACAGGAGGAGCCACCTCCGGTTTCTTCTGCTCGTTGGACACAACAGTTGCCTTTCTCTTCGCATCACTAGCATCAGTGCTCTGCTGGATGAATAAAGTATATCTATTATAAATGCGGCGGCGACTGTCTCTCTCTCTCTTTAATCTCCCGAGTTAAGCATTACGTGGATTTGGATTTCTGGACGGAGGTTACCAACACCTCTAATTCATCTGACTTGAAGTTCTGAAGTTTCATTTAAAAAAACGACCAAAAAACAGCGATTAAAAGCCGTTTAGCTCGGCGAGATGAGAAAAGTGGCATCGGTTGCTAGGTAACAGACACAAAAGTTGATAACCGACGTTGGATTGAGTATTTAGGGTTTCCTAACCTGAGATAAGATAGGATTCCTAAAGTTAGTTAGGATTTGCTTCAGTAATGAGAGAGTGACTGATAAGCACACAGAACAGCACACATTAACCATTTAGTCTGTAAGACTTCAGGAATTCATGAGAAATGTCCAAAGCAGGGCTCCATTTAAAAGTATTAGCCGCTAACAGCTAATTTAGTAGCTGAACGAGCTGTTAGCAGCTCCTGTTGGCGGTTTACTCAGAAATGTACAGACAGCTGTCACTGGATCACTGTGATGCTGAAGAAAACCTCGGCCTGTCTAAGTGGGTTTATGGAGGTTTAGTCGTGGTGGACGTCAGCGGATATTGATAGGGACGTCTCACTGAATCTAACAAGACGTGTGTTCAGATCTGGCTGCGTGATGAAAATGAGATCTGACACAAACTGCAGCAATTAAAACGCCGCGCTGACCTCCGCGAGCTGTGTGACGTCAGCTGAGGTGCTCTGTTATAACAAGCTGCAGGAAAACATGAACTTTAATCTGACAATTACGAGTTCGATCCAACACACACACACACACAGAGCACGTCACGTCACATTATTGTCCGTCAGATATGTTGTGATTTGTTGAGGAAGTCTCAGCTGGGGAAAGGTCAAAGGTCAAATTCAGGAAAATTCTGACCCATAGCACCTCCTGAAGTGTGTGTGCTGACATTTGTTCCAGTTGATAGCGCTGGAAACACACGCACAGTTGAATGTGTGTGTTTGGGAAACTGTTGACCTCCTGCTTCCTGCCAAACGTCATTAATCCCTTTCACTGAAGACGTGTGTGTGTGTGCATGTATTACTCCTGTTGTGAAGACGTCTGTCTGCCGACACATTTCAGGACTCGACAAAACGCACGTCCTCATAACATTAACTCATTAAATGTTTGGGTGAATACTCTGTTTAAGGTCCAGGGAAGTCGAAGTAATGTCCTCTGAAGGGATGGAAACACGACCGTGTGTGTGTCTTCCTGCCTCCGTTGTTCCCTGATTGGGCGATAAGGGATAATTAATGCGTCTGTTTTCTTCCTGATTGGCCAAATAGATTAAAGTTAATTTATTTGTGTGTCCGCGTGCTGATTGGCTGCTCTGACCTTTAAAGGGGGAACAGTTAGAAGGTCGCACCGCAGCCAACGCAGATAACAGCCGACACTGAGGCCTCTCCGTGTGTGTGTGAGTTTGGTATTTAGTTCAGATGCAGAGCCGAGATGACACTTTGCAGCGAGATCGCCTAACCTGCTCCGGAGGAGGTAGACCCTACGCAGGAGTATATAATATATAACTCAAGCTTCAGAGAGGAAACAGGAACTGATGAAGAAAACCCGAGTTAACAAAACACACCAAACTGATCCAGAGGAAGTGAAAAGATTTCATCAGGCTTAATTGACGTTGTCGTAGTTGACTCCACTTCGTCAGCTTTGAAGTCTTTTTATCAAAGAACCAGATATTTTCTAACTACAGGTGCAAATATTGATCATGCAAAGCAGATCAGGGATCAGCCGTCAACGGACAGATCCACGTTAAAACCAGTTTCTTTAACTTGACGTGGAGCCGTCTGTCCCTGAGGCAGTTAACATGTGTTAGTGACGGGTGATTTAGGCCCCGTCCACACTGCTGTGTTTTAATGTGGAAACGGAGAATTGAAACGAATACGATATTATAATAAAAAGCGCATCTAGTGGCCGTTCAGGTACGCTGGACATGCAGATGGTCTATTCCGTAGTTACAGAAGATTTGGGGAAAGTACTACAGACGAAGACCCAGACCAGATTTGATTCTGTCATGGATCCATACCGAGCTGGGACTGTTACTGAATGTAACACAGGAGTTAAAAATGACCGTGGCGGCGGCAGTCGTCGCAAAGTAAACGGTGATAATCACAGTACAAGTTTAGGCTGTAAGTGTTATTTGTACGGTACAGAACGTTTAAAAATACCAACTCAAAAACTCTCAGCAGCATGAAGAAGCTTTGCATGACCTAAAAGACCCAATCAGAGAGCCTGAACGTGAGCGTCTGCGTCACCGTTTCTAAATGTCCTCCGTTTCAAAACGAAAAACGGGGGCGGCAGCGTTTTCAAATGATCTGTTTTAGGTCTTCTGTTTTAGTCTGGACGGGAGGTGCAAACGTAGCAAAAGGTCTCGGTTTTCAAACCAAAACGCAGTAGAGTGGACGGGGCCTTAACGTGCCGTCATTGTAACTGGAGAAAACGAAGGCACTGAGACGTCTGCAGTCGACCGTACTGTTACAAAGACTGAAGGAGAGATTTATTTAATCAGTTTAGATCCAGATCCAAGATGGCGTCTACTCTGGAGCTTAACTTATCTGTGTGAGCTGTGACTGACACCCACTCAGCGCTCGCTGCTGGTAAACACTCAGCCTGTTATGTTGAGAGAGCGAGAAGCCTCGGCTGAGTGTCAACTGACAAAATCCAGACAGACGCTTATTATTAGAACATTAACTTGGAGTAAATACAGAAAGCAGCTGTCAGGAGAACCAAACAGTCAAAAGACTGGAGTGTAATATAACTTTTAACTTTGTTCAACAGAAAGAAATAAACAGAACGTAGTTTTTCGTCTTTGTCTGTGTCGGTTACTTATGAACACAGAGAATCAGATGAAGAATAATCAGTGTTTTTAGGTAATTAGACAAAATGAAAATCAGGATGTTGGAGGATAGGGTCACAGTGCTGAGCAGCAGTTAGATTTCTGCATGATCGCTGAAAGAGGGTTCCCTCGCTGTGGTCGTTCCTCCTGTGCTGTAAGTGATGGAGGAAAACCTGCTCGACAGTTTATCTGGAGCTGGAACGAGGCTTCAGGCGACACCGTCCTGTGGTCACTCTGTCAGATTAGGAAATTAAATTCATACATTCTTCCTGTGACTCGGCCGAGAGACGTGACCGCCTACGTGTTGGTCTCAGATAGAGCAGGGCAATGAAACAATAATGCTAATTATCGCAATAACATTTCCCACAACAACAATATAACAAATGTTCAGTGAATGTTCGATTTAATTCATGTGAATCACGAGTGAATCAGCACTTAACGTTTCTATTAAGATATTTATTTTGTTGAGGAAAATGCATATTAGTGTTCATTATAAATGTTTTGAATGTTCAGATTTGTTTGTGACATGATCCACTGTTGACCAGAAAGAAAACCACATAATTAACCAACTGGTTTCTTCAACTTTCACTCAGAAGCAAAAATCAGCCTTTAAACTCGAAACAAATATCCTGATAATTTTTAACATCAATGAAATTACATTTTTTAGTGTGATAACATTTTTGGCCTGCTCCCAGACCAATCACAGCTTGCCGTTTTTCCCTGCCTGCGTGATGTCATCTGGAAGCAGGAGCGAGGAAAGGACTTCCCGGAACACAACTGTTAACAAAACAATGGCGTCTGAGGCGGCTGGACGTGCATGATGCTGGAAACCAAACTTTTCCTCTGTTTCACAGGCGCACCTCGCAGCAGCAACATCATTGCTCTTCCTCACAGTCTGTTGTCGTCCACTATGAGACACCACATGGGGAAAAAAACCATCAGGTGTCTCCCCGCGTCAGTCTGGTCGGGTTCTTCCCCGGCTAGTACTGTGTAGTCTGAACCCGTGAATTAATGCTGGAAATAAATAAAATAAATGTGTCTCTCCTGTCCTGCAGGTAGTTGCTATCCCTGTCCGGAGTCGGTGGAGGTCAGATGTACATGTGGCTCCACCGTCTTGGCTGTCCCTTGTGGGCGAGAACGAAGCACCAAACCGCCTCGCTGCAAAGAGACCTGCAGGTAAACTCACACAGAGACACGCACACACCTGATTCCCTCTCAGCAGTGTCTTTAACAGCTCCTCTTTTGTCTCCCCCAGGTGTCCTCCGTCTTGCCACCACCCGACCAGAGAGACCCACCGGTGCCACCCCGGGCCCTGTCCCCCCTGCAGACAATCCTGCCTGCTGCCGCTGCCCGGCTGCAGCCACACCTGCCCTCAGCCCTGCCACGACATGGTGCTGGTCAAGTCCCAGCAGGTAGCTGCCCCAGAAATTATGAAGCTACAGCCAGCAGCTGCTTAGCTTAGCATAAAGACAGGCAGCCTGGCTCTGTGTAAAGCAAACAAAATGCACCTACCAGCACATGTAAAGCCCACTGAATAACACCTGGACCAGAACTGAAGCGTAACGACGACTCGATATGTGAGAGAGTGATCTGGATCTTCTCATCTAACTTCCTGCAATAAAGTGAAAAAGTGTAATTCTCAAAATGAGAGCACATTTATAATAATATATTTATTTGTACCGCACTTTTCATTGTACTTTTACAGCATCGATGCCAAACGTGGACACACACACACACACAGCATCTCGCACAGTGGTAAACTAATAAAGCACAGAACAAGTCCATGTACAAGTAAAATGCATTATGCATCACATAGTAGTTTGAATTGAGTAAATAAAACATAAATCAGTCAATATAAAAATAATAGAATAAATTACTTTTATTTATTACAACTTTATGTTATTTGTTCTGTGCTGTAGTTCTTCGATTTTCTGCTCCTTCTGCAGTGTTTTGTACTTTTTTTACATTTATTTGATCACTTTAGTTAATTCAGATTCGTATTACAAACAATCAACAAATAATCTGTAATAAATCATTATTAGAGCTGACATAAAAAAATGCTTCCCAGCAGAAGATAAAGTGGTTAAAATGAGCACCCCTGTGACAAGCTGCATGATAAAGTGATGAACACATTAGTGCTTCAGTAATGCAGATGACTGACTTGATGAAGAGCTCATCATCAGCATCTTATCGCTGTCATCAGTCACATAAAATGAAATTTCCTGTTTTCTTTCTGAACAAAATAAATGATGTTTGGAGAACCTCTCTGACATGTTTTCTTGGTGTGTTTGTGTGTGTAGGTGCAGTTGGCAGGTCCGTGGGAGCAGCCGTCTGAACCAGCGTTTGTGAAGAAAGCTCTGCCATGTCCGCCGTGTCAAGTACCGATACCAACGCAAGTCACACACACACACACACACACACACACACACACACACTCCATCTCCTAAAAAAATAGCACAGCAGATAAAGGCCGGGTGAGATACATGAATCAAACCATGACTCACATGATAAATTCACTGTTATTGTTCACTAACAGCTACTTTAGATGTTTCATGTGTGACAGCTCAACTTGGAAAAACACGCTGAAGATCTGACTAGAATTAACTAGTGAGAAAACTATGTATGGCGTCATGACTCTGTGGAACATTTTAAAATAAAGTTCTGGATCTGTCCAGGCCAGTGTTAGAGCTTTAACAGTTCTCATCATAATTAATTGGAGGTTAATATGTGCTGTAGTGCACAGGTGAAAGGAACAAAATGAAACAAAGCAGAGAAGGTCGAGTTTCACAGGGATTTAACTTCCTGAAAAATTAAAATGATTGTTCTTGTCCCCAACACACACACACACCCACACACACACACCCATTGCACACAAATTGCGAAGTGTTTTGTTTCTGTCACGGATCATTAGACCTGAGATTAAAAAACACACTGCATGCTGAGTGTGTATGTGGATAACAGTTGTGTATGCCAGTTCCCTGCAGCTCTGTGACGCAATAAGCCAACACCAACCATCTGTGTGTGCGTGTGTGTTGATGTTGAGGATCCTCAGGCCAAGAGACACAAACAGGACTGACTGTGTGTGTGTGTGTGTGTGTTTGAGGTATTAATGTGCATTCATACATATGTATTCAGACAATATTTTTTACAGGACGCATTATAATTGATTGGAAGTAAATGGAAATGAAAGTGGAATTTAAGTGAAAGGAATTTACAGAAGTGATCTGGATAAATGGAGGTCATTAGTTTCACTCAACTGATATTATTCTGAGAGGGAGGTGAAGCAAATTAACAAAAACCATTTAGTTTTCTTCAACAATATGTAATTAGCTTTGGGTATAATGTAACTTTAACATTAATGCCAATACAGCTTATTTTTGAGATGAATTGAGACGGATAGAGATAAATGAAAATGACGTTAATGAAAGTGGTCAAGTAAAGAGAAAGATTCGTTTCAAAATTAAGGGAATGAATGTAAACAAATGTAAATGAATGGGATATATCAAAGTAAGAAAGGATGCCACACAATCTCTGTGCTCTACACTAAGCTCGCGCCTGGATAGCCTGTGTCCTCTATCCACCAAGCCTGCTCGCCCACACCAGCCCCACCCGTGGCTAACTGATACCATCCGTGGGCTGAGTACTGATCTCAGAGCGGCTGAAGGAAAATGGTGAAAAACCAAAGCCCCCGCCGACCTTAAGGGCTACCAATTGCTCCTATCCTCCTTCTTAACAAGCATCAGTGCTGCCAAAACTGCGTTCTATAATGACAGAATAAGCAGTGCCACTGACTCAAGGAAATTATTTTCCACTTTTAAAGCGCTACTAAATCCTCCTCCACCACCCACAAACTTGTCTGCTGATACTTTTGCTGCCGCCTTCACAGGCAAAGTGGAGGCTATAACTAGCTAACACTCAACCTCAACCATTGTAGCAGTCCTACTACATCTTTTCCCCTGCCCTTCCAGGTCAGTGGTTGTTCACTCTCCTCATTTACTCCTCTCACAGAGCGCAAAGTTTTAGAACTCTTGACCCGTAGCAGTCCAACTACATGCCCACTGGACCCGATTCCTATGAATCTCCTCCAAGCCATACCTCCTACTGTGGTCACGACAATCACTCATGATAAATACTTCTCTGGCTTCAGGAACCTTTCCGACCACCTTCAAAAGGGCTCAGGTTACACCCTTGCTCAAAAAGCCCTCACTTGAACCAACTCAAGTTGAGAATTATCGACCAGTGTCTCTTCTACCTTTTTTATCCCAAACTATTGAACGGGCAGTATTCAAACAGGTCTCAGAATTCCTCTCAGGGAATGACCTCCTATATCCATATCAGTCTGGTTTTAAGAGTGCCCACTGTACTGAAACGGCTCTTCTGTCTGTAACAGAAGCCCTAAGGTCAGCTAAAGCTGCAGCCCAATCCTCGGTTCTTATCCTGCTTGAGCTATCAGCTGCCTTTGACACAGTCAACCACAGGACCCTGCTATCTGCTCTCTCAGCAATGGGCATCTCAAGTAAATCACTCCTGTGGTTCGAATCCTACCTCTCGGGGCGTTCCTACAATGTTTTGTGGCAAGGACAATTATCCTCCTCCCACTGCCTCTCCACAGGGGTGCCCCAAGGCTCAGTGCTTGGGCCCCTTCTCTTCTCAATTTACACCACCTCACTGGCGCCGATCATTCGCTCGCACGACTTCTCTTACCACTGCTACGCAGACGACACGCAACTCTACCTATCCTTCCCGCCAGGCGATCCCACTGTCTTGGCGCGGATCACGTACTGTCTATCGGACATATCTGCATGGATGAAGGCTTGCCACCTTCAACTAAACCTCTCTAAGACTGAACTCTTGGTCATTCCAGCCAAGCAATCTATCCACCATAATATCAAACTACAAATTGACTCCGCAACCATCACTCCAACCAAGGTGGTGAGAAACTTGGGTGTCATGATTGATGACCGGCTGTCCTTTTCAGACCATGTTGCTGCTGTCTCTCTGTTATGCCGCTTTGCTCTATACAACATGAGGAAAATCAGGCCCTACCTCACTCAGTACGCCTCCCAGCTTCTGGTACAGGCCATGGTTATCTCTCGCATCGACTATTGCAATGCTCTCCTAGCAGGTCTTCCAGCTTGTGCGGTGAAACCCTTACAAATGGTTCAGAACGCAGCAGCACGTCTGGTTTTTGATCAGCCCAAAAGGGCTCATGTCACTCCATTACTCAGTGACCTCCACTGGCTCCCGTGGCCTCCAGAATCAGATTCAAGTCACTAATGCTTGCATACAGAGGGACTACTGGGTCTGCACCCATCTACCTAAACTCCATAATACAAACTTACGTTCCTTCTCGGCCGCTACGCTCATCCAACGAACGCCGCCTGACTCTGCCATCCCTTCACACAAAGCAATCCCAGTCCCGGCTATTCTCATCTGAGACACCACGAGCTACCACACGCCATCAGAGCAGGGGCGTCCCTCTCTAACTTCAAGAAGCTCTTGAAAACTTATCTCTTCCGAGAACACTTCCTCTTATAACGCTTCTAACTCCTAATCTCTAACATGCACTTCCTGTGCTCTTCTTCTTCTGTCCCCTACAATGATCTTGTTTTGATTGCACTTTTTGTTAACTCTTACTTCCTTCCCTAGGTATTTACTCCATTGATGTGATATGTACTATGAGCTCTTACTAGTATTTATTGCTGCTCTTACTAGTATGTATTGTCAGTTGTAGATCTGTAGTTGATGCTCTGTTGATGCTTGTATGTTGTTCCTCAAGCGTCTACCAAATGAGTAAATGTAAAATCTAAATGTTAGTGAATGGGAGTCTTCAGTCATTAAAGGGATTATACTAAGAAGGAAGTTAATGGAGGTAAATGGAGCTTAAAATATGGACGGCACAAACGAAATAAAGAGAGATTTTTTTCAAAGTTAAGGGAATAAATGGAAGTGAATGGTCAAATGAAAGGGATAAATCAAAGTAACAAAGGATGGAAGTGAATGGGAGTCTTCAGTCATTAAAGGGATTATACTCATTAATGGAGGTAAATGGAGCTTAAAATATGGACAGGACAAAAGGAAATAAAAAGAAACAATTTGTTTCAAAGTTAATGGAATGAATGGAAAGAAATGGAAATGAATGTGATGACTGGAAGTGAATGGTAGGTACAGTAGCAGTCAACAGTGATGTTGAAAACAAACAGGTGAAAGGAATGAATAAAAATGAATGTGACATTTATTTTTTCTGTATTTGTCTTTCAGGGCCTGTTTCGGAGAACATGAGGTATCGTTTGTCTTAACCTTCCCTTTTCTTTCTGAAGTATTCATGTTTGTCTCCTTCTTTTAAACCCAGTTTAACCAGTTCATCACCATTTACTCACAGACTTCATGTTTTTAGATTGATTGCTTCCTCCCTCCACTCCCCTTTTTTATCTGTAGAGCTGTTCCCTCTCCCTCCTCGGTGTTTTCTTTTCCGTCTTGTTCCCTGTTTCCAAACGTCGTCCATTATTAGTTTGTCCTCCTGACCTCCTCCTCATTCACTCCCTCTCTCCCTATTCGTCTACTTTGTCCTTCTCTGTCTCTCTCATATAATTCGCTCCTGCATTTCATCCCATTTAGTTGCTTGTTATTCAACACACACACACTCATTCACCTTCAGACGAGGTCAAAAAATGCTTGTGGTTTCAAAGATGTCTGTACCGTACTCTGTGTGGTGATCAGGTCAGTCCGGTGCCGTGTCATCGACGGGGGCGATTCTCTTGTAAACGACCCTGCGGACGACCTTTGACCTGCGGGAACCACAATTGCAGCCGGGAGTGTCACCTGGTTACCAACGGCAAGCAGGTGAGCCAGGGGCAAGGCCAGTTTACTGCATATGTGTTGCTCATTTCAACAACAAGGCAAGTCAAAAGGCTTTACGCAAAACACAAAAGCAACATAGGCAAATATAAAAAGACATTTAAATACAATTGCAGAAGAGTTAAATAGAAATAAAACAGGACAGTAAAGTTATAGAGCAGTGTAAAATACAAGCCTCACGTTTGATTTAATAAAGGCTGCAGCAGGAAAAATAAAGCGAGGGGCTCAGTAGGATGTTCATTAATGCTAAAAGTGAGAAGATTCATTATAATAAGTGTAGTTTTATAAAATCTGTAAACCTATGTATACTTTATATGTATACTTTATAATGCTCGTGACCACTTTGTGTGTGTTTTTAGAGCTGCAACAATCAGTCGGTTAATTGATTAGACGACCAAGAGAAAATCAGAAATTTCTAATCCTTCGATTGTTTCAGCTTCTCAAAGGTGGGAATGACTTCTCGTCTTTGTCTCAGTTTATTGTAAACTGAATAGTTTTTTCGACTGTTTGTCAGAAAAAACACGACATTTGATGATGAAAATAATAGTTGCTGTGCAGCAAAGCGCGTCCACGCTGTGTTCGGCGAGCTGGATGTCAACTGGATAGCTGATCAGACCAATCAAATCAATTACTCTCTCTCTGCAGTGTGAGGTGTGTGAAGAGGCCTGCTCTAAGCCCCGCCCCCCCGGGTGCCCCCACACCTGCTCCCGCCCCTGTCACCCCGGCAACTGCCCCCCCTGCAGCCAGATGATCCGCCAACGCTGCCACTGCAAGATCAGCGTGCTCTACGTGGAGTGCACGTCAGTACACACTCACCTTAAATGCTTTTATTTTGTCTTTTTCCGTCTTGTTGTTTGTGCTGAAATGTTATTGGTTGATTGATTAATGAGAAAGTATTGATTAAAGAGTAACGGCTGGTAAGAAAACCCCTTTGGGTCAGTGTATAAACATTAAAGCTGGAGACAGCAGGAATCCTGGAGGAACACTGGAGATATGTTTACATTTGTAAAGCAGTCTTGTTTAAGCTAACAGGGCGTCATGTTTAGCTTTAAAGCAGCTATAATGTAAATTTATTATAACGGTGTATGAAATAACCGTGTGTCTCTGGTAAGTTACCTTTTTACTGTTCTGGTTCGCTCTCCATAGCGTCGTTGTCCGAGGGAAAGCTGTAAAAGCCACTGTTCGCTACATGTTGAGCAGAAAACAACAGACAGACACAGTTAGAGACCCGCTGGGCAACATAGTGGAGCATTTAGCAACTAACGAGCCAGATATTTGCCTTCAGGGGCTCCTGGAGACCAAAAAGAGAGCGACACTGTTGGAAACACTGTTTGAGCACAAGTTCGACATAGCAGCTTAAAGCTGATGTGTTGAATACTCTCTGCAGGAAGTTGACATCAGCTGATGAACGGACGAAGGTGCAGTTGGGCTCCTGCAACAACCAGTGTCCTAAACAGGTGATCTCACACACACACACACACACACACACACACTGACAAAACTAACGTCCATCTATGGAGACCTCGGCCCCTTTGCATCATGGGATTTGTTTATCAGACATGAGAAGTGGAGTCACCTGCCTCCCAGTAGAGTGCGTGTCATCATGCAGAACACGTTCTCCACCTACAGCGCTGGAAGTCACACTGTTCCTTCCTTCCTTCCTCTCTACAGCTCTCATCCTTTCTTTCCTTCCCTACTTTCCTTGACTCCTTTTGTTTTTCTTCCTTTCCGATCAATTATCAATAATGGTCATTGTCATTGGAGTAGGAACACAATACCATCCATTTGTCTTTCTTTCTCTCTCTCTCCCCAATAATCAATTTAGCTCTGTGGCGCCAGACAACACACACGCACACACACACACACTGACACACACAAACACACACACAAACACAAACACACACACACACACACACACACACACACACACACACACACACAGAGTCTCTCTAGCAGTGTGTTTTGCTTTCACCTGGGAATGATTTAGCGTTTTCATTCTGTCACTTACTGGCACTGACACACACTCACACACTCTCTCTCTCTCGAAAGAACACAGTCAAATGTTTGTTTTCAGAGTGTGTGTGTGTGTCTGTCTGTCAGAAGACTGTTTTCACAGTCTGCAGAAACTTAAGCTCCTAAAATCCCCAACACACACGCACAGTTGGAATAACAAACATATGCAGTGGTATGTTTACACACACACAGAGCCCTGACTGATTTCTTGATAAATTTGGTTCACATACTAAAATGTTATTTTCCAGTTCAGTTGAAGAGACATCAAGATGTTTGGAGAATAAACAATCTCGATTTTTTTTACACGGTGCGTCTTATTTGAATAGGCGGCGACGTAACGGGACACGGTGCGTCTTATTTGAATAGGCGGCGACGTAACGGGACACGGTGCGTCTTATTGGAATAGGCGGCGCCGTAACGGGACACGGTGCGTCTTATTTGAATAGGCGGCGACGTAACGGGACACGGTGCGTCTTATTTGAATAGGCGGCGCCGTAACGGGACACGGTGCGTCTTATTTGAATAGGCGGCGACGTAACGGGACACGGTGCGTCTTATTGGAATAGGCGGCGACGTAACGGGACACGGTGCGTTTTATTGGAATAGGCGGAGACGTAACGGGACACGGTGCGTCTTATTTGAATAGGCGGCGACGTAACGGGACACGGTGCGTCTTATTTGAATAGGCGGCGACGTAACGGGACACGGTGCGTCTTATTGGAATAGGCGGCGACGTAACGGGACACGGTGCGTCTTATTGGAATAGGCGGAGACGTAACGGGACACGGTGCGTCTTATTTGAATAGGCGGCGACGTAACGGGACACGGTGCGTCTTATTTGAATAGGCGGTGATGTAACGGGACACGGTGCGTCTTATTTGAATAGGCGGCGACGTAACGGGACACTGTGCGTCTTATTTGAATAGGCGGCGATGTAACGGGACACGGTGCGTCTTATTTGAATAGGCGGCGACGTAACGGGACACGGTGCGTCTTATTTGAATAGGCGGGACATGGTGCGTCTTATTTGAATAGGCGGCGACGTAACGGGACACGGTGCGTCTTATTTGAATAGGCGGGACATGGTGCGTCTTATTTGAATACGCTGTGATGTAACGGGACACGGTGCGTCTTATTTGAATACGCTGTGATTTGTGGTTGAGCTGTGATGGATCTTTATGGATGAGTTGGGGAAAAAAATAAATCCACTGCAACTTTTGAGACTGTTTAACAGGGATTTAAAATAAGTTCTAACTAAAGATGTTAAACACAAAAGAGGGCAAATGGTCATAATTACAGAGAAAAACTGCTGTGGAACAGAGTGTTTGTTTCCAGCATTTTGTTTCTATCTGCATATCTGAAACGTGTCACGTACAGAGCTGGATTTTAAGCCAAACTGCGCAGTAAAATTGAATTATTCCTGCTTCGAAATGCAGACTGATGGTTCTGAGTTTTAGTCGTCCAGGAAAGATTCGTTGATCAAAGAGAAAAACAAAAGGAGAGAGACAGTTTGTTTTCACTGATGTAACAGGCCATTTCATGTTTCCTCTGGAGAAACCCCAGACTCTTTGTTCCCGTCTGATCCCTGGAAAACGTTTCTGCCTCGCCGAGAGAATCAGAGTGTGATGGAAGTGTGTTTATTCTCTCTGTGTGCAGCTGAGCTGTGGCCATCGCTGTAAGCAGGTGTGTCATCCAGGAGTGTGTGAGGAGAAATGTCAGCAGAAGGTGAAGCTCCGATGTCCCTGCAAGAGGATCAAGAAGGTGCACCATGGTTATTCTTAGTTTAATGTCCTTTCAACTTAATATGTGAGAAATTCATTTATTTCCAGGATAAAAACCCCTTGAGATGTACCATCTCGTTTTCGAGGGGGTCCTGACCAAAGACACACAATAATGTAAAAATACACAATATATACAGCAAACATCAAACACACAATAGTAAACATTTCAAGAATACAAAAAATAAACAAAATATAAAGACATTTACTCATCACCTTGCACATGCCACAAACTCTAGACACCAACACTAATAGTAAAAACAGTAGAGTCTAACAGTAAGTAGCAATAATTAACAGGAGCAGTCTGTTGTAAGGTGAATGATAAGAGCATTCTTAAATGAACCTAGATACTTGTTGATGTCAAGAAAATTGGTAGATTGTTCCAGTCTCTAGGAGCCTTAACCACAAATGCTTTTTTTCCTGTTTCTAGTGTAGTTTTTTTTTTTGGAACATGAAAAAAAAGATTGTTATTGCTTCTAAGATTATAAATATGATTAGAGTTATGCAAAATAAAAAACTCTTAAAATTAATACATTTGAAAAGACACTGGTACCAGTGTAACTATCTTCTTTTATCAAGAGAAAGCCACTGCAGTTGATTGTACACAATGGTGGGTTTAAAAGTCACAATTCAGAATAAATCTGCACAAACTATTACATTTAACATTAACTTTCATAAGATCAGTTTTTGAAGCATTTTGATACCTAATCAATAACAGGTAATAACAACTGAGATACCAGCCTCTTTTCGACATTCATGGCGAAACAGTTGTTTGACCTGTAGAAAACCCCAATAGAACAGCCATCTTATTACATATAATCAATATGCTTTTTATATGATAATTCAGAGTCAATCCATAGCCCCAGATATTTAACACAATCAACCTTAGTAAGTAGGGCACCATTAGATGTGGAAATTGAAAGATTATGGGGATTTTCTTCAAAACAAACATTAAAAAAATCGCTAGTTGAGCTGCTAGCATGTTGTCTCGTTAGCCAGCTTCGCCAGTAACGTTAGTTACCTGGTAATGAAGCTATGATGTGTGATATAACGTTACCATACGAGAGAGATTAACAGAGCGGAGGACGGCATTTTGGAGTTGTTGTCAGAGCCGTCATCAGTAGTCGACCCCTTGGCCCTTGTTACTCTGTTTTAAGGGCCAACAGGTGGTAGGGACAAGTGGCTCTGCCATAACATCCGTCTCTACAAAGCTGCTGTGTTCGGTTGTACCTAATAAAGTGGCCACTGGACAGAGTTTAAACGGCCTTAATAAGGTGATAGATCCATTTTTGGGACCAGTGCCGATTTAGAAAATTTTTGGATTTAGAAATTTGATATTGCAATAGTGCCCTCTGGTGGACAAACAATACAACAACAACACTCGTATAATGATTGAAGGATCCGTCTCCAGTCTTCCTCTCTCTTTTTCAAATTGTCTTTTATCAGCTGTTATAAACACAGAAACCAATTAATCGTCTAGCTCTAATAATAACTTGACTTTAACTGAGATACTTTTTAACAGACGCAGCTGCTGTGATTTATTCAAATTAAAGATCAGAACGATAATAATAATCTTTGTTCTTTCATAAACATACGTAAGTTAGCTTGTTGATTATTTTTGTGTAATTTTCTGGCCCGTTTGTGTCTTTAGGAGATGCCGTGCGCTCTGTCGGCTGAGTGTGTTGTTCAGTGTGATGACGCCTGCAAAGACCAGCAGAAGAAAGTCAGCCAGGTACACAAACACACACCCGTACAGGAGTGTGTCACACCTGGATACACACTAACTACTGTGTGTGTTTTCAGATGAAGGAGGCGGAGCAGAGAGCAGCTGAGGTGGAGGAGCAGAAGAAACTTCAGGTCAGTCTGACACTTGGATCATCACACATTATTCAAACTGTAGCCTGCTGTTGGTGAGATTATATAAAGTAACTCAGTCGGATTTTAAGTGGTAGCCCTGATGAGAGTCTGATTGTCTCTGCTCCTGTGCGATCAGGAGGAGCTGGAGGCGTTCGAGAAGCGTCAGCAGCGAGGAGGTCGGAGGAGTAAGAAGAGGGGGAGGAGGGAGGAGGTGGATGATGAGGAGTCGAGGGCGCGGAGGTGGTGGAGGAGGTGCGCCGCCTACGTCCTCGCCCCGTTGGGCGGAGCTCTGCTTTCCGCCGCCGCCTACTACCTCCTCACCACGCCCTGAGCCGACACGTCAGCATGCGTGTGATAAAGGATAATGTTTCTACTTTCACTCTACTGTCTTCAGATGTCTCCACTTCTGTTTCATTTAACCCGTCCTCCTGTTTCAGACCGCTCTTTGTGATTTTGGTTTATCTTCTTTCGGTCTCAGATTTATTTTGCTGCTTGATTCTCTAACTTGATATCAGTCCTTGTGTTGAGCTGTTTTTCTTTTCAGAGTAGGAGTAGCTTTAGTTTAGTCCCCATAGCAACACAAGCTCTACTAAAACAACAAAAAACTACATAATCCAAACATCTCAAAGTCATTAATTAGTGTTAAATTGCTGAGCTAGAGCTGTTTATTTTTATAATCGATTGTTCTAATAAACAGTAAAAACAAAGAAAAGTAAGCTGGATCCATCACTTTCGTTTTGCTGTCGGTTAATTAACGGACGCAGCTCCAGTCCGAACACACGTTTTTAATGCTTCACAGATGCTTCGTTACCAACTTACAGCCTCTGAGAAATGTCACGGTTATCACATCTTGGCACACGGCAGTGTAAAAGTGGTTAACGTTTTGACTACCTGGGATTGTCTCCAGTTGTGTTGAGAAGTTTTGACTGACTCTGAAGAGCTGCGCTCGTCTGTTAGCTCACTAGCTACACGTTAGGGAGTGAAATCTGAATGATTTTCAGCAGATACAATAAACACATTTGTGAAACCAGCTTTTTGCAAAATACAAACCTCCGTTGTGTTTCTTGTTTTCTCTGTGTGGTAAACTCTAAAATATGAATTTAATTTCAGTAAAAGTGATTATTTCAGGATGGCGAGCACATTCTTGTAATGTTTGACCAATAAAGAGAGAGTGAACACTCTGTACCACAGATCATCAGTAAAGTATATTGATATGACCTTTGACCTGATGTTTGTCTCATTTCAGCAGAATCTGATGCACTGTGACTGATTACAAATCTTTCAGGTGAGACTCAACACAAAGTGAATTACTGTGCGAGGCACAGGTGCATCCAGCTGTAAAGACAACAGGAAGTTGGTGATTGTAGTTTGAGCTGCAGCGGCTCTGACGGAAAACTATAATTTGTCGAGTCGTAACTTGGTTAAATCTGAACACACGATGCTACACTGCAAGTGAACATGTGTCTCTTGTTTTCTTGGATGGACTTTCAAAATCCAGCCGTCTGTTGTTCCGACATTATCTACCCGAGCTTTAAATCCACTGACAAATCATATAAAAAGACTTTGATGCCCACTGTTAAACACGGTAGCTGCAGCAAGTTAGCAACTGACTGACTGACTGTTTGGCTCATGACTCTGATTTCAATACTCTCCAGGAACTTTATAATTTCCTCCATACAGGTGTTTTTATTTTCTGGTCTTCACGTGTCCATGATGTGGAGTCATAAACCTGCCTCTTTACCGCCACTGATATTCTCTTTGCTTTGAGTCTAAACTCGCATTCAGAACTGATCAATACAACTCAGATTATCAGCAAAAGCTGAACAAGAACTGCAAGTGTGGACTTGGGATGGTGTCAGTTTGGTTTTCACACAGCGGGGAAGAAAAGTAACAAAAAAAACACTGAACTTGAGAATATTTAGGCTTGAAATTATTTAATTTACAGACACAATCAGCGATGTTACAGTAAATCAAAGTGCAGCCTCCACAGGATTCTGCTTTCGCTCCTGTTTGTTTTAAATTACAGCGACAAATAATTAAATCCCAAGTTATTTTCTAAAGAACGCCACAAATGATGTTTGTTGTTTCATTTACCTTCAGGATTCTTCTATAGTTTAAAGTTTGCTAATGTACAAAATGAAAATCAATTTAGGAACTTTGTCTCCAAACCTGTGAAGAAAGTTCCTTACTGATGTTTACGAACAGTCACTGTCCATCAGCTGATTATAAAGGATGGTTCATCATTTTTAAATTTAATTACAGATTCAGAAACAGTAAATTTACTTTGAGTGTTTTTCCACAGTTCTGTAACGAGAAATGAGCCAGACGTGTTCACATGTGCGAAGATATTCAAACAGAAACGACTTGACCTTCGAGAGTGGCTTCATAAGTGACCACACTGAGCGTAACAACATAACTTTATTGATACAACATGTAGAGACGAGCTGAGAAAAGCTGTCACGCGGTCCTTCACTCTGACGTAAAGTGCGATTGAAACTTGCAGAAAAGCTAGTAAATGGGTCTTGAGTTGAGGTGCTATCTGCGCCAAAGAAGCAAATATTTACATCAAAGTTAGGTTTGTTTTTTCTTCAAAGTCAACTTTATTGTCAATTTGACAAAAACAATAATTTAAAAGTCAAACAGTAATTAAATTATTTACAATCAGTTAACATAAATATTGCACAAGTCCTGTGCAAAATCTGTCCATGTGAGTATCCAGTTATTATTTTGAGTTTTGCCAGTTCTTTGTATTAAGGTGGCTGGTGCTGGACGTGGGTGGAGGATTTGCATTTTGGATTTTTTTTTTTTGTTATTACTGTTGATTACATTTATAATTAAATGTGCAGAGCAGTAATTTACAAACGCAAATGCTGGCAGCTTTACCAATGTAATCCTGCTCAGCAGGGTTGGGCTTGGCCAGTACCTGGATGGGAGACCTCCTGGGAAACCTAAGTTGCTGTTGGAAGTGGTGTTGGTGGGCCAGTAGGGGGCAGTCTTCCCTCTGTTCCTAATAATAAGATAATAAGAAGAAGTGCAGTGATGAGGACACTGCGCTGTAGGAGCTGCTGTCCTTCGGATGAGACATTAAACCGAGGTCATTAAAGATCCCATGGCACTTGTCGCCCATGGTTAATAATTCCCAACCTGGCTTTCACCATCTGGCCGTCCAATCATCCCCCCTAGTAATTGGCTCAATGTTTCTCTCTCTGCCTCAAAAACTGATGTGTGGTGAGCGTTCTGGCGCTAAATGGCTGCCGTGCATCACCCAGGTGGGTTGAGGTGAATCCCCCCCCCCCCACACACACTTCACTGTGAAGTGCTTAGAGTTTCCATGATAAAGCACTATATAAATGTAATGCATTATTATTATTATTATTATTATTATGAAACCTAACTTGAAGTCAGCTAAAATGGGCCACTTTTTGGTAAGTGACTAATAAACTATACATGACATCTAATCCCTGCGACCCTGTACGCAGGATAAGTGGTTGACGATGGATGAGATCTAATCTAAAAAAACGTACAATTGTTTTGTAAAAATGAGAGTTTGAGTAACAACATCTTAAATACAGTTCATGCAATAAAAAGTTGAAACAATATTTAATTTAAAAATGAACTGGTTGGGTGTGAGTTTCTGCACATTGGTGTCTTTGTGTCGGAGTTGTGCTTAAAGTAATTAAAAAAGATATTTTAGTAGTAGTATTTTAGTTGACATGGATATGTCTCCATAGGGACCTATGAACCTGTTTTGCACCCTTAATTTCTTTGTAAATTTTCAGTTAGCTTGTGTGTGTTTACATGTGACAAGTTTCTTGTCTTGGGCATTGAGGACTAGGGATTTTATTTCAAGCCCACATTGAGAACATGGATAAATTGCTTTTGCATTGTCTGATTTATTTGTTAACATCCTAACTTTGAGTGGATGTAAAACCTATTACTTCAAATACAACCAATAACCCTAATTAAAAATGTGTGTTGTTCCCGTTAACGACTGTCCCCCCTCCCCGTGATGGTAAGCATGGAAAAGGAGTGTCGAATAAAGATGCTTAACTTGATTTCTGCTCTTAGTGTTTGTATGTGGGTGTTTTAATGGGATTGTGGATCTGTCAAATAAATTTGAGAAGTCTGCTACCTATGATCTCGATCCAACTGGGCTTTGGTCTTGAATCGGTCTTTCCCTCCCACCCTGCCTGTTGCTTGTTTTTTGTTTGTTTGCCTGGATTTGTTTAGTGAATCGCCACAAAACGTGGGACGCCCATATTTAGGTTTAACGGTAGAGTTGTGATAAATGTGAAAGGCATTTTAAAATCAAGTTTCCTTCTGAAACCTGGAGGTTCAGGCTTCACACCGGCTCTCCTTTTCTTTGTGTCTTGAAGTTGCCTTAAAGTTTTGGCCGGACAAAACGTCCTCACTTAGAGGGTGTAAAATTTAATTAGTGCTCACAAGGATACAAGTGCAACACACACACAGAGGCACGCGGTGTAGCTACAGTTGTGTGAGTGTGTGTAGCTACCAAGAGTGTGTTTTGGGGTTTAAGACACACACAGAGGCACGAGGCTCATGTCGCAGCATGCACTTGACTGTAAAGTGTGTTTAATCCCATGTTAAGGCTTCCTCACGTGCGTTAGAGAGAGAGAGAGAGAGGGGGGCAGAGCGACACTGACATTCACCGTGGAGAGAGAGGGAGGGAGAGTCTGAGGGGGCGGAGCCAGCGCGTCTCGTGCTCTGTTAGTTAGCGGAGCTGCTCCTGCAGGCAGAGGGATGGTCTCGCGCTCAGCGGCGGGCAGCATCAGGTCATGTTGTCCGCGCGGCTGGAGACCTGCCCGCGTGTCACCTTCAGCGGAGCTGGATCTGTAACGGTGAGTCTCTCTCTCTCTCTCTCCCCGCTGTCTGTGAGGCTCTCTCTGCCTTCTCTCTGTGCTGCTGTCCTTGTGTCTGTCCTCTGTCCTCTGTCCTCCTCCGTGTCTCGGCTCCTGGTCCCGAGAGCTGCTCTCTGTCTCACCTCTGAGAATCAGAAAACAGAGGCTGAAACTCTTCACAAGTTAATGAGTGGATGGATGATGATGCCTTTGATAACCCGCCGGGTGAGCATGATGGAGAAGGTTTTCTTCTTCTCTCTCAGCCCAGTAGAAACTGAGTTGAGCCGCAACTCTTATTTTAATCACTCTGTTACTGCTGGTTAACCTATAAACTCTATTTACTTCTGAGGTAACTTACGATTTCTGTCAGTCTGCTGTTTATTATCTCGACTGATGAAGTAATAGTTTGTAAAATGTCAGAAAACTGTGATGCGCACGTTTTGATCAAAATACAAAGATTTCCTGTTTATAAAGCAGAAAAGCTGTAAATTTACATCTGAGAAGCTGGAATCATTGAACCTTTTGATTGAGCAACTATTTTTATTGACGATTATTAGGTATTTTTTTTTACAGACGATAATTAACTAATTAATTAATTAATCGATTAATCTTTACAGCTGTCTGTTGACCAGACTTTGAGAAATCACTTTAAAAGCAGTTATCTATAAAATGTACATGGAAATAGAAATATTTATTGATTAAATAGTTATTTTTATTTAATTATTTCAAATGTTGTCATGTTTTAAGGTAGTTTTGTTGTATTTAGTGAATCTGAAGATATTTAAGGAGGCTCTCCCATCACCCAGAGTCCTTTGATGCATTATTAATGTAAAACTAATGATTCTGCAGCGTTATCAGGTCTGAACCCTCAAACAGCACTTTGAAGAAGGACCAGACAAAATGTCCTCTCTTTGAAAGTCCACCTGCAGAAAATAAACTGCTAAAAAACGGAGTGACCGTAAAACATCTCCTGCTTTTATATTTCATCTCATTATAAACTTAATCCAATTGTCTTTTCTGTGTCAGACACCGTAGAATCAATCTGGTGCTTATTTAATTTTAGTTTTCTCTGTTTTATACACTAAATGATCAATTGATCAGTCCTCTCAATAAAGACAAGGTTAGTTAACAATAAAAATCTTTAATAGTTAAAGCCCTGAAACACAATTATTGCGTTTCTAACCCTAACATATAAAGGAGACACAAAGTAAATAAACCTGTAAATTTCATTATATTTAGGGCTGCAACTGTTTCCATTATTGATTTATCTGCTCATAATTTTCTCTATTAATCGATTAGAGTAATCAATTAGATTAATAATTTTGCCTATATAATGTCGGAAAATGGTGAAAAAAGACTATAATTTCCCACAGGTGACATATTAAATTTCTTTGTAAATCGCTCTGGTTATTCAGTTTTTCTACTACTACTGTTGAAAATAAATATGTCGGGCTGACGTGATTACTCAGTTAATTTAATTGATTAAACAGTTTTGATAATTGAGAAATCTTTTAAGTTATGTTTTTTTTTCTTGTCTGATTTGTTGAAACAAGACATTTCAACATTTTTCACTATTTCTCAAACCCAGTTATAAATGCGATTAATCGAAAAAATGCAGCTCTTTTCAGACGCAGAGTAATAAAGAGTTATCAGCTGAACTGTTATCTGTATGAAGCGTCTTAAAGACACAATAGATTAATAAATATTTCATTTTAAAACAAAGTTTTTATCTTGTTTTCAGCTTCCATTCCTCCGGCCTTCAAAATAAAAGCCTTTCTTTAAATAAGTTCCTTGATGTAAGATATGTAAGATGTGTTTAATTGCTCTCCTCTGAATCAGTTCAATTTTTAAAGTTTGCTTTTGGAAAGCAAAGGTCGTGGACATTATTTAAAAGGAACACAAACAAATCGATAAATCGATAAAAAGAGAATGAACTGAAAATGAAATAATCATTAAAAACATCTTCGTTTTATGAGCACAGAAAAAGGAAATACAGAGACGATCGCTCAAACATCAATAACTGCAGGTGTTTGTGTAAATATACAGAGTCATTATGAGTCAATATGTGGAGGGGGGGTTGTGGAAATAAATAAATCAACTTATTAAACAGAGGGGGATCCAGAGAGAGAGAGCGGTGGAGCGAGCAGTATTTATAGCGGTGGGGTTGCTGTGTGGTGTTGAGTGTCGACTCGTCGTCATATCGCTTCAAAAATAACTTCAGCGCATCCAACGGAAACTCTGAGGGGACAGAAACACCCGGGTCACCCTCCCTCTGCTAGTTAAAAATAACCTGGGGGGGCGGGGCTTAAACTGGACTTAGAGTAGGGTTAGTGTGGCGTTCCCCATCCTCGAGCACTCCTTCAGCCAACGCTACTTCCTGCTGTGACATCACCCAGAGACCCAGATTTGTGTGAAATAAATTCTCTGATGGTCAGAAACCAGCCGCAGCCTCTGATGGCGCACTAACCTGGAATCAGTTGGCAGAGAGAAAGTCAGATGAAAGTGAACTCATCTTAGTGTGTCCTCCAGACTCCGGCTCGAGGACCTGAGGCCGGGATGGGCGGGGAGGCGTGTCCTCACAAGCTGGGAACGACCAATCATCTTCGACTTCTCCGCTACATCCTGATTCCCACTGTGAGCCTGCTGGCCGGTCTGCTGCTGCTCGTCCTGGCCCTCACTGGTATGGAAACACACACACACACACACACACACAGCTGTGTTTCCATAACTACAGAGGACATCGTCTCCTGTAGAGTCGCCCTACCCACCACCTGACCAGCCACAAAAGTCCTAACACTAAAATATAATGATTTACTTTATAGGTATTTAGCATTTTGTCTCCACCAGGAAGACAAACCCCCATAATGTGACTGATTTATGTCCCCACAACATCAGTAACATCACACTAGTGTTGTGGTACTCAAGACCAGTCTTAAGTGTGTTGAATAATGATGCTGACATAGATTTAAACTCTTAGTGTTTGTATGTGGGTGTTTTACTAGGAATGTGGATCTTTCAGATCATGTGGGGAACTGGTCTTGACTCGGTCTCAGCCCCTAAAAGTCTTGTCTTGGTCTCGGTTTGGGCGGTTCTGACTACAACACGAGCACAAACAAATTCAAGTGCTACTCAATGTGCAAGTCGACCTTTGACCTTTTGTTGTGTTTTTAACCACCAGATGGAGATAAAGAATGACATTTGGTGTCATTTGACGTCCAGGTCTGAAAAGTGAAGCTAATGTGGAAGTGCCTTTAACCTGCATTATTTCTAATGACCAGCAGGGGGCGACTCAAAAAGAAATCAGATTGTGTTGTAGTCTATGGTAAAAGGACCCACCTGATTTATTACCTCAGTCAACACTTTCCTAATGAGTTCATGGTCTCAGTTTCAAGTCTTCTTCAGCACAACATGATGTTCATTCAGTAAATTATGGTCCCATTTAGAGGAAAATAGACCAGAAATCGGCGTATGATTTAGGGTGGGGCTACCTTGTGATCGACAAGTTGCTAACATGGCGGCCTGTCAATCAGGATAGAGGCGTATCTGCTGCCCGGGTACATTTAACCAGCCGCGTTGAAAAAGCTTAGGAGCCGGCTGCTTAGTCTTTCCATTTTGTTTAAAGCCTGTTTTTAGCTAGCCAAAATTAGCAAAACGGGAGTCCACAAACCAATGCGTGACGTCACGGTGACCATGTCCACCTCTTTTATGGGCTGTGGCAGCTGTTTCAGAGTAGTCGTGGCACAAATCCAACATACCAGTATGAATGAAGGTGGTGACAGTAAGGGGATCCAGCTGAACTACAAATACAGTTTCACACGGCCACAATAACTGACTGTAGGCTGAATGATGCAACATGTGGGCATAAAATAATTAAACCACATGTTATCCTCAACAGTCATGTGTTTGCTCCTTACAGAGGATCAGTGGATTCAGTAGCTGACTTGCAGACTTCAATGGAGAGTATGTAAGGAATGTGAGAATCACGTCAATGGTCTCAGTGATGTCAATAAACATATATCCCTATGGCAACATGTGCAAGTTAATAATACATTTTGTCATTCTTGTTTGTATCTCTTCTATTTGGGAAATAATTGTACAGCTTCCTTAAAGTTTTGGTGGACATCAGTTCCTATGGAGGCAGTGAGTTACACTATATTAAATTAGATTTTGTCAAATGGGCTGCATTAAAATTATGTTCAATTAGCTGTGCAAGTGCAATTTATACTCCTGCGTCGAATTGACGGCGTAGCCCCCTACTCTACGGCATCATCCATGGCGTAGCCTGACATGCACCTCCTCAAAAAACTAACTACACGTCGAGGCGACGATAACATTTTAAAAAAGCTACACCAGCTACATGTTTACAATTTTACCCCCATTCACGTTAGCGGAGGGCTAAACTGGAAGTTGGCCAGCTCGCCCGGGAAAAGTCAACACAGTGGACGCTGAAGCGCTACCGCCGACAAGCGTTTGGAGGTTTAATTGCAAAATGACGGAGACACTGACGCACAAGTATAAATGCGTGGCTACTTTCGTAGCCTACAGCGCAGCTACACGCGTAGACCTTACGCAGGAGTATAAACAAGCTCCTGCTAGCAGTGAACCCACGGGTGTACAGACGACTGTGTAGACATGAGCGTGGCGAGCTCGTTCTCATTCCCAAAGCGTCAAATAGCTATGCTTTTTATCACGTATAACACCTTCTGATACCGACGCTTTGAGGGAAGCCCTTTAGTGCCTTTGTTCAACACTAAAAGTACTGCAGTCAGAGGTGGGACGAAAAGTCAACATTGGTTATGTAACTTACATAAGTAGCGTTACTTAACTTATGTATTTATGTAAGTAACCATGTTATTTTAACCTGAACGTGATCTTTTTCTAAACCTAACCAAGTAGTTTTAACTAAACCAAGCTGCAATGTCAATGTTAACCAGTGGTTTTATTTTGAAAGTCTATCCGGACGTCGCATATTTATTGTTTCTAACTTCACTGCGGAGCGCTTCACGCACAAAAACAACGCTAAAGGGTACCCAGGGCGCCAAGGGGTCTTGACAAAGCGCCCATATGTGACGCTCCGGGATGAGAACGGGTTGGCGCGACAGCAGGAAGTGGTGAAACCCGTAGTAAGGAAAGGAGGGATGGTTGGATGGAAAGAAAAGATGGACAGTGGAGAGAGATAAAGGATGAAAGGTAGAAAGGAAGGATGGAGGAAAGAAGCAATAATAAAAGGAAGGATGATGGATGGAAAGAAGGAACGTAAGAGAAGAAGAAAGGAAGGATGGAGGAAAGTAGCTAAGGAGGAATAAGAGGAAGGATGGATGTGGACAGACTGATGGAGGACAGTGTGTAGGAGGAGAGATGACACACACACACACACACACACACACACACACACAGTCATACTCTGAAATTAATTCACAGGCTTGTTAATTACATCACACGTGTGGGTGCGTGCGTGCTTCCTCTCATCACCATGACAGCAGGAGGTCCCTCAGCCAATGAGGAACAGAGTTGCCGTCTCGACAGAAAGAATTTCAAATATTTACGCAGGTAGTAAAACTGGTCCTCCTCCTCCTTTTTATCACTCTCCTTTCTCTGCTCCTTTTCATCATGTCCTCCTCGTTCACTCATTCATCTTTTACTCTTCTGTCCTTTTTAAAATCTCTTTCTTCTGGTCTCTCCTCCTTCGCTCTCCTCGTCTTCTTCATTTCCACCTCCTGTCTCCCACTTTCCTCTTCCTCCATCTTGATTTTTCCCTCTTCTTTCCCTCTCTCCCTCCTCCTTTCTCTTTACTTGTTTTCTCTCTTTTTCTCCTCCAGAAAACTAAACATCAAAGATCCTCTCTTAAGAAGGAACTTTTTATTTATTTATAACAAAACAGAATGTGTGTCTTCCTCACAGCAGGGCTTCTTTCCTTCTCTTTCATCTCCTCTTCCTCTGCAGCTGTTTTCTGTTGTGTCCTCCTCGACTCATTTCACACGCTCAAAGGGCAATAAAGCTGCGTATGTGTGTCCTCTCACCATTAAACACCTAATGGTCTCTTTCAGATCTCTTGGTTCCCGCCGTCTGTCCACGCGGCGTGACCGACGTCCCACCATCACTCATCATTTAAAAATAACAGTAATATTCTTTTTGTCTCAGACGCTGTGTTTACAGCACATAATCTGTTAGAAATTAAATGTTACACACGTGCAGGTTTAATATCAAGAGTTTCAAACTCTCCTGAAATATAAACATTAGTGACTGATATTCAGAGAGCAGGGCGGCCGATGGCTGATACGTCAGTATCAAACCATAGATTCATTCCTGCAGAGTACAACCTAATATTCATGTTATCTCATCCAGCAACGTGTTGTTTTAGATGGAACATTTATTAATGAATGAAACACTGGGTTCTGCTGCAGATTTGAGAACGTCAGAAGTCATTCAGCTGCTGAATTCTCTACAGTATAATAATATGTATTAACTCATTACACCACATTACATCTGCTCTTATTTCAGGTAGAAACGTGTTAACATTTAGAAACATTTAGAAAAGGCGATGGTGACCGAGGGCGTTTAGGGCTCCAAGCTAACTTTTTCACCACTGTGACGGAGAGTGTGCAGAGCCTCGAACGCAGATGTGTCCGCAGGCTTTTTCTGCATGTCGGCCTTGTGAGTGCAGGTATCAGCCCATGATGATGATTACCTCCAGATATCGGCCTGGGGTGCGTTTCCCAAAAGCATCGTTGCCAACTACGGTGGCTACCTCCTTGGTTGGATCTATGCAGTTGCGACGCAAATGTTTCCCAAAACCCTCTTTCGACCTACGGAGGTAATTAAGTTGTTAGCTGACATGGTACGAACCATCGTTAAGTGACGCAGGTGTGACCATAGTTCTGATGAACGTTCGTGACCCCTGTCGTTAAGTTGCAGCTCCAGCTCCTGACCTGTGGTTAGAAGCTCAGTTCACGCAGAAGATGCAGTGTTAGGAGGTGGATGTGATGTGTTTTAAGCAGGGAGGTGAAGCTTTTTTCTAAAAGAATCTGTCCCTATCTGTAGACCATCTACAAACAGCAGGTGTTTTTCTCACAGATTACTGTTCACAATAACTTAATTTAATATTAGTCACCCAGTACAAAGGCTAAAGGACGAAATGGAGAATGTAAAGACAAGACTTTTAATATTACCTTCATGTTTAGGCCTCTGAGGGCCTCTGTTCTCTAGTCTTTATTACAAACATAAATATAAAAAGGGAGAGCATAAGATTCATGAAAGTACCGTAATGAATAAATCCCTGAGAGCTTTTGTTGCCATTATAATAAAGATAAAAAGAGAACTCACAGGATTCAAACCCGCGTCTGTCTCAATACATAACAGTAGCAAACACTACTACTTATCACACTAAGCTATTCTCAAGGCCTTGATATTATTTGCGGCCAAGGGATTTATAATAGTGTTAAAGTGTTGAGCCAAAGATACTTTCTTGTATTCGCTAATAGTTCTTAATTGTTTCTTCTCAGTTATACCCTATATTTAGGCTAAATAAAATGATTATGTTAGGCTACATGTTATTTATATTGTTGATTTCATTAATACTATTGTTGATTTTCTTGTTATTGCCATTACGACTATAATATGAAATAATAAGTTAGCATAATAATGTCACTTACTGTGAACCAAAATAACGTTGAAGTTCGATGCTCGGCCCTGTTCACACAGTTAAGCTCATTTCTGTCAGACGAGACGTTGAACGTTTCCTGCTGGGATCTCGAATATGTACCTTAAATGTTTTAACACGTGAGAGACTCAACGTAAACATGACTGAATATAACTGGCAGGTTTATTTATAGAGAAACATGTACAGGAAGTGCTTCAAAACAGAGGAGGAAACATGTGCATAATAATAATAATAATAATAACAATAATATATTCACATGTGTCTCCTCTGCAGCAGGAAGCAGGTTACTGAACGACAGCAGCTGGACTGAAACGCCGACTAACAGAGACGCATCTTAATGAGCTGATTATCATTTCATTTAACGCTCCACACTCACATGTTTGAGCTCCTGGCTCTCTGCAGGGTGACTCCAGTTTTCTTTCATATTTTTCTGTATTTAAAAAGTGTATACATTTTGTCACATGTTCAATTAAATATTTGGCCTTCACTTTATTTGGACGGCCTATAGAAAGTTATATTTGTAACAGTTTATCGTCATTAATCTAATTGTTGATCACCAATGGTTTGGTTTAGGCACAGGAACGTCTTGGTTAGATTATACTTGGTTAGATATTAGTTGATATTCTGTGAAACGTACGGAGGCAGCAGAGCGACTGTTACTAATACAGTTTGTTATATATTCAGTACATGTTGCGTATGCTGCTGTCGTTCTGTGTGTGTGAGGAGGTGTGAACGGTGAACAAATGATCTGTCAGTGACTCATTAAAACACGTCAGCGTCGCTTTGTTTTTACATCTAACATTGTTACCAAAAATATGAACGTCAAAACAACTTAACAAGCATGACAGCTTCTGTGTGTGTGTGTGTGTGTGTCATAGACTGTATGAGTGTGTGTGACAGATGTAAATAAATCAGTCTCTCTGGTTCACCATGGTAACTAGATCGCTCTGACACTATTCATAGAGCTTTTCCACTGAACACACTCAAATACAGGCTGTGTGTGTGTTACATGCCTTTAACAGCACGTTTGTCCTGTTAAAATATTCTCACACACACATTTAGCTCAATCTGGAGCTTGAGATTAAAAAATATCTTGACTCATAAAAGTTTCACTTAGTTAGTAAATGATGAGTTTAATCCTGTGTCCAGAACTACAGAAGATCCCGGGACAACACACTATAAAACTGTTTAAAAACACTGTAAAAAAAACACTTTGTGTTCACGTCCTGCCGCCGCGCGCCGTCCAGACAACAATGTGATTTACCCGGAGAAGCGTCTTTCCGCTTGTGACGTCACCCGTTTTGAAGCCTTGAGTCTGGCCAATAGGGCGCCGCCGTGTTGAGTTTTTGCAACCAGTGGCACCGAACGTGACCATATTTGGATGAGATGGCGGAGCTAACGGCCGTGTGCGGCGCTAGCTAGCTTGCTTAGCTAGGTGCATCTGTAACTCACGTTAACTGTCATTTTAATTTTGTCTAGCGAACAAAAGTCTTAAAACTAAAATGTACCCACCAGAGAAAGTGAACAGCCGAGTCCCAATAAGCTTTTTCAACGGCGCTGGTTGAATTTACAGAGTGCGTGGTTACTAGTCACTCTAGCCTTGTTGACAGGTTGGGCCATGGTAACGACTTGTCAATCATAGATAACCCCTCCCTGAAGCATCCTCTGCTTTATGGTCTATTTTCCTCGAAATGGGACCATAATTTACTAAATGATCATCATGTTGTGTTGAAACTGGCGACTGAGACCATAAACTCATCAGTGTTTACTAATCAATCAGCTGAGAAGTCATTTTGTTAACTGTCATTTTGCCCTTAATTCTAATGGAGCCGGACTTCTTTTTGCGAGTCGCCCCCTGCTGGATTTTCAACAGAATACAGGTTTATGGGACCTCCGCATTCGCCTCAGCTCTCTAACCGTAAGCTTCTTGCTTGGTTGAGTTGCTGGTGTCTCTGTGATTGGCTGTTTCAGAGCGACGTGATTGGCTGTTTCAGACCTCTGAGAGGAGCGACGTGATTGGCTGCGAGTGTATATATTCATCTCTGATCTGACCCTTCCTTACGTCACCTGTGTGTTTCTTCTTCAGGTATATTTGGCAGCAACCTCTTGCACTCCAGCCCCCTCCCCTCCCCCGAGCCCATTGCTGACAGTGACCGTGGTTACCATGGCAAGAGCACAAACTTCTCCTCCGTCCCTAAGACGGAAAACGTCACGGATTCATCGCGAAACCGCAGCGACGATGACATCACATACGGCCATAAACACGCCGTGGGCACGCCTTCTGCTTCCACCAGCGTACACACAGGCTCCTCCTCCTCACAGGCCACGCCCACCCAGTCCTACACAAAGCCTCCTGAATGGCTGACCTCTGTGACGTCACTGAGCACCACCTGGCCGATCAGCACCACCCCAGCGTCTGACTCAGGTATCAACTAGTCAGCAGGGCTTCATGGGAAATGTTCTCTTCAAGGAATCAGATCTGTCCTTTAGTTCATGATGTTGCCTGTGTCACACCTGAAGATGATGATGGTTGTTTATGTTGCAGAAGAAGTTTCACATTGCAGCTGTAACGTCCTTAAAAACTACAAATCCCACAAGCATCTGCTGTCTCTGTCCACCCTTGTGTCTGTTTTTATCCTTTTCTGTCAAACCCTAAAATCTTATTAGTCTCCATTACTGCAGGATGGACAAGGAGAGACAGAGTGTGTGTGTTGAGTCTCCAGCTGAATTCAGATCTACTGTCCTCTATTCTCCTCTACTGACCTGATGGTGTGTGTGTGTGTGTGTGTGATGATGAATCGTTCATTCAGTTTCTATTTTAAAATTCCCCTCGTCTCTGAGTCTCTCTGTTCCTTCACTGTCCTTCAGTGTGTGTGTCTCTCTCTCTCTCTCTCTGTATTAATGTCTAGTCGAGGTGAATGCTAATGAGCTTCAGACTGTCCTGTCCTCTGACTGGACGCTGGGCGGTCACCTGACTAACCGGACATTTAACCTCCACCTAACTGCTCAGTGTGAGCTAGCTGGTCAGCTAACAGGGATAACGCTAACAGGAATGACAAAGAAAACATGTCAATAAAGACAAATAAATAGATGCCACTTTAAATATTTAGATGTTTCAAAGTTCATGTTGTGATACATTCGGTTTTGGTTTGGTTTCACACTGCAATTCTGCGACCGCTCTACAGGACTTTAAAGGACAGACCTGCGTCCTCTCGTCATCGTCTATGTGGGCTGCGTCTCCCTGTACTTGACATTGATTGGTTTATTAAACAGTTCAGCGGGAATCTCCTGCATTTCAGGAGAAACCAAAGATGTACGTGGCAGTGTGTTTGAAAAAATTATCTGTCACGGGAAATTTATAATTGTGTCCTTATTTCTATTTATTTCTCCAGGCATTCGTTTGTTTCCGGTTCACACTTCAACCGCCAAACTTCCTGTAAATAGTCTGAAAGTCTGAACCCTCCAAAAAATGCTTGATCCGGACCGAGAATACCTCTTTTTGTCGGACCAAATTTCGTCCATGGGAGGTTTTACACCTGCAATTTCTGAAAGTCTGGAATTAGTCACAGATTTCACACATGAAACAAAAATAAAAAGTATTTTATCTGCATGGGATATTTTTTCAGGTGACCGTACAAATCGTCATCCTTTTCTTCCTAAATTGATTTAAAATAAATAAATACCTAATAAAAATCAGGATCCACTTAAAATAACCACATTTTATTATGGTACAACTCAATTCTATATGTTTTCCTATTTAAATATCTATTTTAAGGCTACAAAAACAAAAAATTCCCCGAGCGCAGCAACACAATGAGGTGCTGGTAGATAGTAGATATGAAAAATCAAAAACAAACTACCGCACACTGATCTGACTTACTACTTTATTTGTGAGCTCACAAATAAAGTAGTAAGTCAGATCAGTGATTTTAAGGCTTTTTGAAAAAAAAATTTGTTTCACTTTTATTTATTCATTTATTTATTTCAGGATGACACTTGTTGCGCCATTGTTGTTTGATGATTGGTTGCTCTGTCACTCGGACTCTGAGACTCGGACCAAAGCTGATTCAGAAACCGAGTTAAAAATGAAAGATTAACCGAGAGGAGATTTGAACAGAAATAGTCTAGTCTTCGATATCGACAGGTGTTTCTATTATTCTGTCCAGCCCGTAACAGAAACACGTGTCAGTGTGATTCATGTCCAGTTCAACAGAATCAGTTTCAACAACCTTCATGAAGGAGGACTTACCGCACACTGGGCTAGTTTTAGCTAGCTGTACCTAATAAACTGGTAACTACAGCCTCCATACTTCCTGATTTCTTCTTCTTCGTTGTTTGTTTGTTGACTTTGACTGTATGCAGTGAAAGATCAGCGACATGTTATACCTCCTCCCTCTCTGTCTCCAGGAGGCTGTCATCTGATTGTGGAGCCTCTGTGTCACATGTTACCCTACAACCAATCATGGCTGTCCTCCTCCTTCACCACGGTCGGGGGCTCAGAGGTCGACATGTTGCTAAGGTAACCACATCCAACGATGTGAGGCATTTCAAAATATAGGCTGTGTCCGAAATCACCCAATACTCACTAGATAGTGGACTGTATAGTGAGCTTGCCATTTTGTAAGGCTGTTCAAATGTATAGTGATAATTATTATACCCTATATGGTCCACTCAGTATATCCCAGAATGCATTTTGAAAAGTATTGTACAACCGATGGTCACTAACCAAGCCCTAGATACCATCATGCACTGATTTGGTTTGGTCAAGACCCATTGGTGTCACTTTTTTAATGCCAAATATGCAGTGTCCGGTAAGACTTTCAAAATAAAAGTACTTGTTTTGTTCCAAAAACACTTGGTCAGGTTTAGGAAAAGATCATGGTTTGCCTTAAAATAACTTTACTTGCGTCTCTTGAGTTAAGAAACGTTACTTGCATAACTTAAAATAAAACCCCTTTTTATTTCACACGGGACATGAACACGGGTCTCCTGGGTGAAAGTCCGGTTTTCCCAACCACCTCCTTACTCTTGACTGTATTATTTTATACACGTATCTTTACCGTTCAAAAATGATGAAGGGCTTTTCCCGCTGCGTTGATCTACGGCATGGAGGTACTCCCCCAACGCATTCTCATCTCAATGCGTCATAACTGTCGCTTTCATACATCGTGACAAAGCGTAATTATTTTACGCTAAAGGTACCCTTCAGCGTCCGTATGAAACGCCACCATTTGCTACATCCCAGCAACACAAAGGAGGCTAACCCTACCTGCTAGCACAGCTGTAGGGTTAGCCGATCAACATGCATAAAGTCAGTGAATTAGGTTTAGGTACAACCTTTCTGATGGTTATGGTAAAGGAAGGAGGCTTCGGGGGGGTGTCAACACCTTTTAACTCGAATGTAGCTAGCTAGGTAGCTATTGCTAGCTATTGCTACCTAGCTAGCACTTCCGGTCTGTACGAGACGCTAGGTAGCTATTGCTACCTAGCTAGCACCGCACAACCTGTGCGGGTAGCTATTGCTAGCTATTGCTACCTAGCTAGCACTTCCGGTCTGTACGAGACGCCCAGAGCATCTCATAGAGACGCTGAAGGGTACCTTTGGCGTCAAGGAAGTACGTTTTGTCACTTTTTAGTGGACGCCCTGAGATGAGAACGTTCTGGCTCGCCAGTGCATTACAAAGTGACGCCAAGGGGTCTTGACCACACGTCCATATGATGAATGTGATGACTTGAGAACAGGTTGTGCGGTCAAGTTTAGTGAGTCTTTGACAGTAAAACACGAGATGTGCACATAAACAAAGTCTACAGAGGCGGCGATAAACACACAAAGCTTGACTTTACTCATGTGGCAACACAAATATTAGATTTACACTCAAAATGTATTTTCCAAAGAGAATTATAATAAACATATATCAAAACACTACGGAGGCATCGGAGCCAGCTGACGAGACAGGACTGCTCTCCTGACAGGACGATGGACACTTCAGAGGGTCCTCAACTGGCTCAAATCCTCTGTTATGAAATGCATGCTGGGATACTTGTCGAAGATCAGCTCCTGATAAACAGGCGGGGCAGGAACACTCGGTGGGACTGAACGTGTCTGTATGTGGACTGTGTCATGATGTCTGTACACTTGTGTCGCAGGTTCTTCAGCTACCTCAGCAGACTGTCCTGCTACAGACACATCATGCTCTTCGGCTGCTTGGTGGCGCTGCCCGAGTGTATCGCCGCTGACGGCATACACAGCAGGTAACACAAAAACAAAAGTAAACATAAAATCTAAAACCCTCTCAGAGTAAGTGGGACCATCAGTTTATTATGTCGACGTTTCACTGGATACATTTACATTAATTTTACATTTAGCTTTTATCCAAAGCGACTTACAATTGTCAGAATGTCAGAGGTCGCACGCTGCTGGAGCAACTATGGAGTAAGTCTCTGGGACACCTGTAAGTGGGAGTTGAATGTGTTTTATCCACTGTTCCATCGCCACCACCACCTTGGGTACAAGTTTTGGATCCGACTGTCTTATCCAACGAAACAAGACCTTTGAAGACGTCGCCTTGGACTCTGGGTGACTGTTCATTGACAGGTAGATAAATCCCATCCATCCATTTTCCGCCGCTTATTTGGGGACGGCTAAGCAAGGGAGTCTAGACGTCGCTCTCCCCGGCAACGTGTTCTGGGTCTGCCTCAAACTCAACAGCAACTCATGTCCGCAGCCTCAGATGTGGAGGTGCTGACTCTCATCCCGACCGGTCCTAAGCCTTCTACAAATCCCATAATCCTCTTGTCAGAGGTTTGAGGGAGTTGGAATATGTGTGCTAATGTAATTAATAATGAAAGAATCGTTCGTTACAGGAGAGGATTCTGGGAAGAGTAGCCAATCACATGTTCAAACACACACACAAACATACAGTCAGTTGCTCAACATGAATCGCAGCTGTTCAGACTGTAAGTGGGACAGCGAGTGTGTGTTTGTGTGTTTTGAAACCCTCCGAGCCGAGAATATCATCCTTACAACACTCCGAAATTAGAACACACAAGTTCAGCGTCAGTGGCTTCAACTCAGCATGACCTCCGACAGGAGGATTATGGGTATCTGAGTTTTATTGCTGCTGCTTATAATGGACTCCCTCACGTGTGTGTATTTTTCTGTATGTGTGTGTGTGTAGGCGGGTTGTGCAGCCCTGCGCGTCGTTCTGCGAGGCGGCGAGGGAAGGCTGTGAGCCCTTCCTCCAGATGTTCAACACCTCATGGCCTGAATTCCTGCATTGCTCGCAATTCAGCAGCCTGAACCCCGCTTTGTCACCATCATCATCATCATCATCATCATCAACGCCATCAACACCTTCAACGCCATCAACGCCATCAACACCATCAGTGCTGTCATTGTCCATGGCAACAGCAGGCCCCGCCCTTTCCGCCTGCTACACACCAAGACAGATCAAAGGGAAACCCTGTGAGTACACACACACACACACACACACACACACACACACACATGTTAGTGCTTTAAACTCTAATCAGACGGTTCGATGACATCGCTGCTCTTCTCTCTCACTGATTGGTCGGCAGCTTTGTGCGGCGGGAAGGACCACTTTCTGTGCGTGACGGGGATTTGCATCCCTCAGAAACTGGTGTGTAACGGGTACAACGACTGTGACGACTGGAGCGACGAAACACACTGCGGTGAGACGCACGCACGCACACACCTCTGTGATCTCTGTAAACAGCAGGGGGAGTTTTTAGCCCGTTGTCGTGGTGATGTGATTGATTGGACGACAGCGGTGAAAGTTTGGGAACTTGTTTGTGACTGAGAGATGGTCGTCATGGCGATGTAAGGAGAAGATAGGCTGAGACCACAGGAATGTAAAGAAAGAGAGAGAGAGATTTTCTCTTTGTCTGTTGATGTCGCTCGCCCTCTTTCTGACCTCGGCCTCCTGAAGAGGCTGATGTTTACTGCCATAAAGGTCGTCGCACACAAAGACAGAGCACTAGAGGAGAAAGACAAAAGAGGATATAAAATGAGAAACAGACAGAAAAGGAAAAGCCAGTAAAATATAAAGAAAGGAGACAAAATAAGAAGAACAAAGACAGAACTGTGAGACGAGACAAAGAAAGAAACGCTACCTGAGGAGAGAAGTGACAACTGAAATGACAAAATGAGTCAAAACGAGAAGGACAATTAAACAAAAAAGAGAAAAGAGACAAAAAAGGGGTAAAACACAAAGAAAAATACAAAGAAACAACTCAAGTAGACAAAAATGAGAGACAAAGTGAGAAAGACAAAAAAAAAGAAAGAGAAAAAACATTCATACAAGACAAATATAACATCATCATAGAGATCAGATATAACACATACAAGAAAGCATAAAAAAAGGGTCTGTGAGTTTAGCTAGTAGATTATGAAGAGCTTTAGATGTACATAACAAGAGTTTAAAGTGAATCTGCTGTGACACCGGGAGCCCCAGTCCTTCAATCAGCTGGGCGGTGAGATGTTCATGTGTAATCAATCATGCAGCAGATTTTTCGGATTAGTTGATGTCTGTGAATACGTTTACTGGGGACATGTGACAGGATGGTATTGCAGTCGCATTGACTAAGAGTTAGGAAATTTTTCGCAGATTTAAAAAGGTCAATCGGGGAGACATTGCTGCAGTGGCCGGCCCTGACAGTGTTGGAGCACTAGGCGAGATTTTAAGTTGGCGCTCCCCCCATGCCCAACTCTAAAAGTGGGGGTCATCACTCTAGTATCCTCAGGAATTGTTTTAAACGTTCAGCAGCCAAACTCACAATTTTAACATGTATAGATGAACAGCCGAGTCAGTAATCATGGTCAGTAATCAATAAGTGTGATCAGCATACTCGTCAACCTCAACATCACAGCCGAATTTGGGAGACCAAACCTCTGTGTGTCCCTACACAAACTGTGAGGTAGATTTCTTGAAATGCAAGAGCATTGGTTTTAAGCATTAAAGTCTTCATTTCCTGCATTGTGCTGTAAAGTTCTGCACCAGTTTATGGTGGAAAAATTAATTCATGTAAAGGGAAACACAAAGTTCAGGCAGCAGGCGAAAATGCAAAATATAAAAAATTAATAGAATATATTACAGTGAGGCTTTCAGGAATTCTGTAGCTAGTGTTTTAAATGTTTTCTCAACTTTTCTAATTTAATAAAATCCCTGCTGAGTCAGCACACATGCAGGCATGATTCAGACTTCCCTCCTCTTTTGTGTCTGGGGTTGAGCATGTGGCACCTTTTCACCTCAAATAAGTGAATTTTAATTCAAGTTATAAACTCCTGGACTTTAATAGCTCCTGTGTTTTAGCAGGTTTTCTGCTCATGTTCAAAACTTTCTGCACATTCAGAATCTCTCCCACATGCTGGTGTCGCAGCAGCTGGGCTGAGTTGATTCGCGCTGAGTCGAAAACATTCTCTTGCGGCGCCCCCTGACATTTTGCGCACTAGGCAACCGCCTATGTCGCCTATGCCACGGGCCGGCCCTGCATCGCTGACATGACTGGAGAAAGAAAGGGTGCTGTACAGGCTGACACCAAGGCTGTAAACCTGTGTGGGGACAGTTGTGATGGCTGCAGACTTAGAGCTGGTGGATTAGTGGTAGTTACTCAGTTTTATTGCTTTTGTATTTCAGGTACTTCATGAAGGATCATGGAGACAGGTGGTGAGGGTTCTGGTATGGAGGGTAGAAGTGGGCTTAGTGGACACAAATAGCTGATTATGGTGGCAGATTTATGTCATATGTGGCGACCTCAATAAAACATTAATAATAATTATCATATTTCACATGTGCTTACAGGTGCAGCTTCTCTGCCTCTCTCTATGTTGTGTTTCCCGCTGGCAGCTGTCTGTTCTGCTCTCGGTGGGCAGTTAATGTCTGCGCAGGTGAAATAATATAATTTGCTCTTGAGCATGTTTTATCCTGCTGACCTATGATCTAAATCTAACGCCATAGAGGAGGCAAGTAATAATCAGGAGTGGCTCCAACACTGAGCCGTGTGGAACCCCGTGAACCGTGGAGCTTTCTGACCGGTAGGAGGCAAACCGCTGATGTTAGGACGACAGGAAGTCAGCTGCGAAGGAAGAGACATGAAGAACAGATGATGACTGATGCTCTCTCTCTCTCCCTCTGTCTCTCTCTCTCTCTCTCTCCCTCTGTCTCTCTCTCTCTCTCCAGTGTGTACAAATGATAAGTTTCGGTGCAACACCGGCCGGTGTCTCTTGCCCGATCTGGTGTGTGACGGTTATGACGACTGTGGAGACCTGAGCGACGAACTCAACTGTGGTGAGAGATTATTTTTTTAGTTTTATTACTATGAGCTCTCACTAGTATTTATTGCTGCTCTTACTAGTATGTATTGTCAGTTGTAGATCTGTATTTGATGCTCTGTTGATGCTTGTATGTTGTTCCTTTGGATCAAAGCGTCTGCCAGATGAATAAATGTATTTTGAATAGTGGTGGATTGTCAACCCAACACATTATGGACTCTTAAGTGACAAAAACAATTTAAGTAGCTAAAATATATCATTGAAGTGGGGATAGGACAAGAAAAGTTATTCCAACTTCTTTTAACCAAGGTTATTATAGTTTAGGATTTTTCATTAGTTTTTATTTTTATTTTGTTTTGACTTTTTGTATTCAATTTCAATTTAGTTTTAATTAGTTTTTAACGTGGGTTTGCTAGTTTATTTAAAAAAAAAATGCTTAGTTTTAGTCTGCACGAGGCATTGTAGTAAAGTGTCATTTGTTCAGTGTTGTCACATGAAAAGATATAATCAAATATTTACAAAAATCTGAGTGGTGTACTCACTTTTGTGAGATACTGTATCCTCCAGTTAACTTGATCTACAATCTTGACCACTCTGAGCTTCACCCACTAAACGGAGCTGCTGCTTAAATAACAGAAACGTAACGTGTGTGTGTTGTCAGTGTGCGATCTGTCTCGTGAACATCGTTGTGGTGACGGCCGCTGTGTGTCCAGAGACTGGCTGTGTGACGGAGACCACGACTGTCTGGACAAGAGCGACGAGCTCAACTGCTGTGAGTTACAATGAAGAGACTGTACATTTAAAATGTATTTTCTTTGTTTAGACCTGGACACAAAACAGAGAAGCTGTGTTCAACTGACTCAAAACAAATAACTGAGGTGATCGAGATCCTTTGAGAGAGATTTGTTTCTTTTGGACTACTGTCAGCTCAGTTTCCAGGCTGAATGCGCCTCTCTCTTGTGTCATTCAGTTAAAGATTTGATAAAGATAACCTCACAATACAACTCAAAACGATAAAGGGTAACAGGCG